CTGCGAAGCAAGGGTGAGGTAAATATCTGTTCATGATAATGTCAAGAAACTCAGCTTTCTATAAAATCGAAATCTATGCCTAAGCGTACAATTTTGTCAAGCTACATGATGCTCTAATACTTCAGGGAAATTTAAAATTCAAGGTCTAAAGGAGTCGTGGTTCGCTTATCTAAGCTGTATTGATTAGGGTCCAGGCCCTATGCCAGTCCCCATCCCACACTAGCTGAAAGTGCCAAGACCGACCGTAGCCCACAATCGCTGCCGCACAACTCAATTAACCAAATTGCAGCCCAGCAAACAGCAACACCCGCACGACAACCTCCATCACAGCCAACGCCGCCCTGACTTCTGCCCGCACGAAGTCTTTATAATCTACGAAACGAGAGGTAAGACAATCTCTTATCTCCCGCGGAATCTTGAGTTTGGAGCGATTTTTTGCCCCACTATGGTTGGGGGGGTATCGATGAAAATTCGATATCAGAAAATATCAAATTTGGATATAAGAATGGGGATAGGGTCTATACTTTGCATGGGATAGGCTGACGGCGAGGAAATGATGTAGGAACGACTATAAAACATGGCTGTTGGAAAGAACAAGAGGCTTTCGAAGGGAAAGAAGGGTCTTAAGAAGAAGGCCCAAGACCCCTTCACCCGTAAGGACTGGTACAGTGTCAAGGTGAGCTTGATTCCATAGCTCGAATCTGGCATGGTGTTTTCAATTCTGACCCTTCTTTCTACTTCAGGCACCTTCAACTTTCCAGATCAGAGAGTGAGACTTCCACCTCCCTGCAGCACGTGAATCCCCGGGAATATATATAGTGGAATGGAGATATGCATGGGTGTTGGATTAGGGCTGACAAGGGCCTCCGGGAAACAGTGTTGGAAAGACCCTCGTCAACCGTACCACCGGTTTGAAGAACGCCAACGATGCCCTTAAGGGACGTATCTTCGAGGTCTCCCTCGCCGATCTCCAGAAGGACGAGGACCACGCGTTCCGCAAGGTCAAGTTGAGGGTTGATGAGGTTCAGGGCAAGAACTGCCTTACAAACTTCCACGGACTCGACTTCACCTCCGACAAGCTCCGTTCCCTTGTCCGCAAGTGGCAAACTTTGATCGAGGCCAACATCACCGTTAAGACCACCGATGACTACCTCCTCCGCCTGTTCGCCATTGCCTTCACCAAGAGGCGACCAAACCAGATCAAGAAGACTACCTACGCTCAGTCTTCCCAGATCCGTGCCATCCGCAAGAAGATGGTTGAGATCATCCAGCGCGAGGCCGCCAGCTGCACTTTGTCGCAGCTGACCGCTAAGCTCATCCCTGAGGTTATCGGACGTGAGATTGAGAAGGCTACCACCGGAATCTACCCTCTACAGAACGTTTGTACCCATCTCTCCATCGATTCTGCCCTATCGGCTGCCTGCAGCCGATGGAAATGATAATATTGCATAAATATGCGTATGTGCTTATATGTACTGACGATCTGCTGCAGGTCCACATCCGCAAGGTCAAGCTCCTCAAGTCCCCCAAATTCGATCTCGGTGCTCTTTTGTCTCTGCACGGAGAGTCGACATCGGATGAGTCTGGCCAGAAGGTTGAGCGTGAGTTCAAGGAGACCGTTTTGGAGGAAGTGTAAATGGAGAAAAAATTTATATACTGAAACGGATTTCGGGGTGTTTTTTTTTTCCTTCCTTCCTCTTTGTTACTGAATAAAAAAAGTTTGGGTTCATCTCTAAGATAAGGAGTAATACTCAATAAATCAGCAAAGTTCTCCGTGGGCAACAAGACAACAGTAGAATCGGGTTGAAAATGTGTAACTACGAACACGACGCTGACTTATTTTTTCGACGAGCCTTGTTCTTGATGGTTATATGGTGTCCGTTATTTTTCATTTTTATCGTCTGATTTCTTTTCTTTTTCATTTCCTATTTGTTTTCAACTTTTTTTTTTCTGTTTCGATCCAAAGGAAGGATGCTCTAGTTGCGGGTATGCATGGCCTAAATACAGTTTCTTCGTTTCTAGAGTGGACCCGAGAGTAGATGCCATTTCTGTGCTGTAGTCCGTGTTTCTGAATATCACATTAGCTGTGGTAGAGAGTGGCTGTGAGAGTGGTGAGAGCTGGTGATCACGATTCTCAGTGTGTGCACTGAGGTGCGGTCGCGTGGACCGTCGCTGACCGAAGGGTGTCGAGTCATGTGGTTGATATCATGTCCGCGAAGCCTTTGTCGCGCGCGCGCGTGTGTGCGGTGGTAGGTGTTGAGTAGGTAATGTAAGCACAGTGTATGTGTTGTGGGTGCGTCGTCGTCTTGACTACATGTAGACTTGATATCTGCGCTGACGATCCCTTGGTTGTTGAGTCGTTTATTTGCCTGCCGCAACTCGTTCACGGCAATTCTCGATTTGACGTAGCTATTGGCCTGTTGGAGATTTCAAGTTTCTGTTTCTCGCGAAACGGTTGGGAGGTTCACTTGTGCAGTGTTGCTCAACAATGCTCAGCGCCCTCTCTTCTACTCACGCAACAAGAGAAAAGAAACTATTGGCCATTTAAAGTTAAAAGATTTCTACTGGCGGCACCGGAAACCCTGTTGGAGTATCTTTTGTTGTGTGATATATTTGGGTGGAGGTGTCTAGAGGCAGTGTGAATCCTGTATGTAGCCTAATCCTTGTCCCGCTTCAAACCGTAACGATGAAATTCGCAATATCATCCCCTAACCCTAGTCTCGAGTTGGAGCTCGTGAGGTTCCTTTGGTGGTTAGTCGGCTTCGGGTGTTTGAGCAGTACCTAAAAGGTACATTTCAACTCACCTTAATATTTCAGGGCATCGCTAGCTTCAGTGCCTGCTTTTATAAATTTATTTATTAGATTCACTTTGTCATTTATTTGTCATCAATCTTTAGCTAAATATCATCCATCCGAAATTGCAATTGTCACTCATGAGAAAGACAAGAGTTGCTTGTTTTATCTTGCGTGTGAAAGAAGAGCTGTACCCAAGGCTTATAGAATTACATCACGGTGTATCACTTGATCAAATTTTATAGTTGCGCAGCTACATGTATCCATGCAAAACGAATGCTGTCATTGGACAAGCAAGGACAGCAGCACTGGCCACCGGCCTTAACCACCCCATGAACAACGTCGTCTTCTCTACCTCTAAGACTCTGACAAGCTACTGACGTCGTCGCTCACTATTGTTTGAGCCTCTTCCTTATCATCATCTCACCGTGAAATTACTGTGCACATTACTACTGCCCTTAAGTTCCCGTCTTCTAGAAAACCTGCATTCTGTAGAAGGGTCCCTACATCCACCATACCTGGCCCCCCCAAGAATCTACCCCAAATATCTCCCCACCACAGACAGACACGGACAGACACACAAACGCAAGCATAGATCGCACACCACACCACTAACATACATCCTACATCATACATCGACACACATACTACAATAGCCTTACATAGAAGTTCCTCAGTGGTCACCACATCATGTCTTCAGACGCTCCAACCATCAAGCTGTACGTTTAAAACCTACCCCTCTCGGATCGGGATAATATTTCAGCTTTCTCGGCCTTTTCTTTCTTTCTCTATCATCCATTGCTTCTTCCCACGCTGACCGTCACAGATTGCTTATAGGTCCGAGCAACTCGGGAAAGACGGCGCTGTTGCTCCGATATGTCGACGATATATTCGATACCGACACCGCAACAGCCACGATAGGCGTTGATTTTAAGGTTTGTTTTTCCCACCTTCGCCTCTCAGCTTGCTGCAGGGATTCATACGCAACCGATCAGCTCCGATATCACTCCTGCAGATCGGTGGGAAAACAAAATATTGAGAAGAAATTGCCGGGAAATAAATCAAGGGAAAATAGTCACATATGATGTTAAGATCTTGTCTGACGAAGCTCGGATGTAGGTCAAGAGAGTCTCGGTCAAAGGAAAACCACATAGGTTGCTTCTATTCGATACTGCAGGTCAAGGTAACTATCCATCACCCTTCCGGTCCCTTACTTCAAATCATCTGGAGCTTCAACTGTCTATTCGGCGGTCTGTGGTACCAAATATTGATGGGCGAGATTTCTAGAACGTTTCCGTACCTTGACAAGTTCATATTACCGCAATGCGCAAGGCGTAATATTGGTATATGATGTGTCCAATCGGGAGAGCTTCCTGTCGATGGATCATTGGTTTGGAGAGGCAGAGACATATGCTTCGCCGGGCGTCATAAAATGCTTGGTATGTGCTCTATTGGTGGACCGGGGGCGGAGATATCAACAGCTTAAAAATGAGGGTGTTCTGGAATAAAAATGCTGACATTACCATTTTCCAGGTCGGGTCTAAAATTGACCGAACAGGCTCGAGAGCTGTCAGGCGCGAGGAGGGCGAAGCCTTAGCCAAAAAGTACGGTGCAACTTTCTATGAGTCGTCATCAAAGACACGCGAGAACATTCGGGAGCCATTCATCACTACGGTTGACAGGATTGTCGAGACACCACATTTGATGGATCCGGCGCTTATGGGCAAGAGGGACGGGACTGTTGCTTTGGGACATAGTAGGAATGAGCCAGAGGTCGTTGAGACCGGTTGTGCTTGTTAAATTCTCTGAGAATGGAGATTATGGAGTTGCTTAGTTGTCATATACCTTCCTTTCGATTATTTCTTTCTTCCTCTCTTTCGGGTTTGCAGGTGCTTGGGTGTTTAGGCTGGTAAACAAGGGTCATACTCATTGGTATTCATTCGGTCTTTTTTTCCCTACTTTTTCGTACATCTACGATTTCCTTTTTTTGCTTATTATCTCGGTATATGGAAATTTCCTACGCGGGTGATAGATCATGAAGCGATATATTTACGGGCTGTAATTAATAGTTATGCCTCTTAGAAGTTTCTATGATATACAGATATATGAATAACGAAATATGTTTAAAATTTACTCCTTTTCTAGTGACTTCTACTATATTGGCAATGATTAAATTATCTGTTCTTAAAAAACTTTCTATAAATAGTTCACTCCGAGTTCTGCAGGAATTCAACAACGGCTGTATCAATGATCAGTAAGTAAACTCTATGAAGAATGCTCACAAGGAGAAAGCATACCTTCTTTGAACTCAATTGGCTTCTCTGAAATAACCCAATGTCCGGCATCTATATCTTTCAATCTAAATAGTGGAAAGAATCTGCCAATGATCGGGATATGCTCATCGGGGACATAGTGACTTTTGGTACCCCTGACAAACAGGGCCCGTCCCTCAAACCGATCCTTCTCGGGCGTAAATGGGAAATCTCCAATCTCGTCTAACGCACTGCCGAGAATCTTGATTGGTACCCTGAACTTTAGATATGGAGATCCCTCCTCGCGTGTCAAGTTCGTGAGCAAAAACTGCCGGATCCCAAGGTTCGGCTCGTACTCGGAGAGAATCTTGTCAGCCTCGGATTGCTTCGTGAGCTTCGACTCCTCGATCTGACGCATGGCGCGGATGTATGTGCCAAACGAGGAGTGTAGGGTTGAGGAGACGGGGGCGTTGTCAACGACTACGAGGTCGCGCACGAGCGAGGGACTGCGGAGGGAAACTGCCATGGCCGTTTTGGCGCCCCTGGATGGTTGTTAGAATTGGCGGGAGGAGGGTAGGAAGGAAGGGTTTACGGACATGGAATGACCGAGAAGAGTGGTTTCTGGGCCGAGTTTCTTGTCGACAAGAAAGTGCTCGACATCTTCGGCCATGGCTATGTAGTCGTGGCGTTTGTGGTGGGGGCTATCGCCATGGTTTCGGAGGTCCTGAATATTTTGGGTTGTTAGTTGAGAGGTCCTGTGATGTGTAGTGATAATCTGTGAAGCAAATTAAAAGAAACATACAACTGCATAAACAGGCCTGTTCAAATCCCGTGCAAGCGCTCTAATGGTCATCAACATATAAATTAGCATTTTAATATATAAATAAAAGATTCTGAAGAAGCCAATGATCTTTATTCCCGATTCGGAACATATGGGAGTCTTTGAAGTCCGTTTTTCGGCTGTTATTTGGAAGGATTTCGGGTTCTTACTTACTGATCGTGCGGTTATTCTGCTTCGACCCGAAGAGACCGTGCATCACCACAATCGGCGCATCATTCTTTGGAGCTGTCGAGTCGGTAGGTTCATAAAGATGATATGCGAGTGGAACTACTTCCTTGACCGAGGAAAAATTACGCTGAGAAAGTGCGCGGATAGGGCTTGCACCCGAGCGAGCGCATCGTGAAAACAAAGCGGTCACAGCCATCTTTCTTGTCCAAGAATATCGAAACTTGGGGAGAGTGTGAGTACTGAATATTTCAGACAACCGTCAAGATTTTTTTTTGATAGGGCCGTCGCGGCTCAACAGGGGCAGCCACATGCCGCCCCTAGCCCCACTAAGACCCTGCGACAACATCACGGCGTATTTCTGATCATTCGCAGGGGTACAACTTAAAGCAGCCCCCTTCCATCCAACCCTCCAAATCCCCCCATCCCCGTCGCCGCCGCCCTCTCCCGAGCACCAAAGTCTCACTCGTTATCTGTGATCACCTTGCCTACCCTACGCAAACACACGAACGCCATGGTTATCAATCCCACACAACTCGCCCAGACAACCCGCGCGTGTTGGTACCCGTTCCGCTTTTATCCCTACGAAGAACCAGTTTGCTAATCTCGGTGGTGATGCGGGTATAGCTGTTAACTGGCAGGATGCGTCGAGGCGGGCCATTCTCTCGTACAGAGCATGGCAGCGATCCGTAGGTCTCCCTCATGATGCCATTTTTTCTTCCGCCTAGGTCGAGATTCATGGAAGCTGGTGCTGATTTTTGGTGGGGTGATAAGGCGCCGGAAATCGTAAGGACATATGCTCTCAATGTCCCACTCTCTGCCGTGCGCGCGAAGATCAGACAGGAGTTTGAGCGCCACAGATATGTGCAGCAGCTGCCGGTTGCGGACATGCTGATTACAAAGAGCAATATGGAGTACCAGGAGACGCTGAACTACTGGAAACAGATTCCCCACATCATGAAGTGAGTTCAATTTTCTTGCGGGGAACCGGGAAGGGGGGGAATTGTGTAGGAGTATGATCACTGATTGAGTTGGCGGTATAGGTACTTTAGAGTGGAGGAAGACCCCAAGGCCAGGGTCTCATCGAACTTTATGAACAACTTCTTGGAGGTACGGGAATCTGGATCATTGACTCTGAATTTGTCAATCATGACGCGTACTAACATCTTCCTTTTCTTTTTAAAGGGCCGCAACTAGAACATGTATGCACAGTTGAAGTGCCTTGTCCATATCTTGCTTCTAATGTCATTTCAATTTTCCAATTCCTGCGAGTAAATATCCTACTAAAGATCAAAGAGAAGAACAACCTCCCAAATAAGAAAAGAAAAAGAACCAGTCCTATATACGCCAATTTATCGTGGAAAAAGATAAGGAAAAGAAACGACTTTTGGTACAACTCCTGGTCTAGTGATAATATTTTTATTTATCCTCGTGCTTACCGTGGGCGTCTTTTGCGGCTGTAAAGGCTTCGGTGACATGATCGCAGAGATCAGAGAGGTCATCAAAGCCCTTCAGCAGGACATCGTAAGGCTTTGTGGTTTCCCAGTATTCAGCTGCAGTTCCAATTAGTTAGATTAAGAGCAAGAACGGCATCGAGTATTAAGGCGATCGGCGACAGTGGTACGTACGATAGATCTGTATCCGGATATTCATCTTCTCCTCGGAAGGATGCGGTATCGAGTACCCACAGAACTCAACCTCGGGGCTATAGTCTCCGAGTCAGTACCCGGTTAAAAAACAAAACCAAAAGCTGTTGTAAAAAAATCACATACTTTTTCATGATAATGTATCGTAAGGCGTTGCCAAGGGTATGGTCCTCACCCTTAATCTCGAATGAAGCCGAGCCTTCCTCCGCTCCGGGGAGCTATTCTGCAGTGTTAGCAGACATAGCCCCCAAGGTGAAATCTCGACAGCACAAGGCACTTACGGTTGTGATTCGCAGATCATTGAACATCGATTCCTCCTCGACAAGTGGCTCGTCATTGTCGATTTCACTCAGATCTTCCATCGGTGTGTCCTCTGCAGGTGCAGATTGCGGGTACTCTGATTGGGAAGCCATTGTGCTTGCGTTGTTTTGTGGAGTGATTTTTCCGTTGTACGAGTTGCCTGCGAGTTCTGTGGATCTCTAAAATTTCGAGGTGAAACAAGCATGGGACGGGTAATCGTGCATGATGGTTACCCGTCCAGAAAACCCTGGGCGGCAGATATCCCTGTACAAACCCTAACCCACGAAATATTCTGCAACCTCGTCGCCAATTTTATCAAATCCGGGGTCGGTGAAGTTTTCTGATCGATTCAAAGAAGCACGCTGGAGGAAAAGGAACGATTTGGAGGAATTTCCCCGCAGTACAAGTCATATCATAGCTACGTAGGAGGCTTTGTTAAAGCTACCTATGATTTCAACTGCTCACATGTAATAAGCAAAATGTTACACGCAAACTCCGAAGTGGAATACGGGTGTAACCTTGACAACCACCACTGTGACAACCTTTAAGCGTGCTGACTTGGTCATGGAATCAGGGAATGATATCGAATGCATGTTTCATTTTTTGTTTCTGTTGTGGTTGTTACCTACATGTATTTATCTATTCTATTGCCACGCGAAGGGGCTTCTGTCTGCTAGCGTAGGTATCTCCCCTCACCAACACGTTAGGGATGTGCCGAGTGAAATTGAGGGTTGACGCGCTCGTCGGCGCCGACTCAGCGCTAAGTTTTTTTTGATTTTTTTTCCCTCGTCCTCTCTTTTGTCTTGGAATTTTTTTGGTGTTTGCAGTCGGGGACGATTAATAATGGTTGATACGGTCTTCGTGCCGTCCGACAATCCCCGCCCAAAAACCCCTGGGCGGGGAATTCGGCTGCATTGGCTCGCCGGTGATCGACGGTTAAGAGCATGTTTATGGCTAGCTGGAAGCGAGATCCCAATCCACTGGCTTGACTTTAAGGGGTAGGTAGAGGAGTTTGGGTTATCGATAAGGTTGGGCCCGATACCGAGGCTTTGAGCCTCATGTCTATCTTGCCTAGAGAGTGAAACGGCAGCACCGGACCCGGGGTAAGGGGGTTCTGCAGCCAATGGTGGTACGTTTATTCTGGGCAACGTGGCCAAGATTTGCTTGATTTAAGCATTTGTGGGAGGTGAGTGAATCGATGGCCAGCACATCAAAGGTGTCGAGATTCCGATATAGTGGTTCGCATAACCTTTCACCCGGGGAGAAAGAGTAAATCCCCGTTTTTGGTAACACTGCCACTGGCACTGGGGGGGACTTCTTTTGTGATACACTGGGATCATCAGCATTCAACGTCGGGGAAAGCTGCACTAAGTCATGGAGGGTGTGTGTGCGTGCGTGTGCTTTTGGCATAACATGAATTGAATTAAAAGGTGAGGTGCTGATAAAGTATCGTTTATCTGATTGATGAAACTCTCCATCGTCCGTGGGCGTATGGATCTGTAATGATGTAGGGAGTTGAAGGCATGTGTGTAGTGGATGTTCGGGAAGGAAGCCTTAGCGTTGAAACCACATGGCCTTCCAGAAAGTCCAAAAACACGCCACCATCTGACATCCATCGTGAAATCCGGCATGTCTCCTGCGTGCGTTGAAGTGAGTGCCTACCGTAGTAGATTCACGGCTCTGGTGCCCGCCCTGCCTTTTGTGCAAAAACAGAAACAGCCTCCCGCCCAAGAAAGTACTCCCCCACACCCCTTTCGGCAGCTTAGACTATTGTGGTCTTCCCGGAGATGCAACATCACCTTCATTCTTCGATTGCCAGTTATATAGCTCCTGTGATACAAACCGAAGGTCCCAGACCAGGACCAGGGAAAGACCAAGGAGTGTAGGTACATTGTTAACAGTGGTATGGCATGTACACATTCCTGTGTGAACTGATCTGTAGTCAGGTTCCAGTGTTTGTCTCCCGGGAACCTTCCGTATTGAGAGTAGCAGATTATGTAACTTATCATTTTTTGTACGCCCTGTTCAGCCCAAAAACCAATGGCTGAAAAGAACGAACGAAAAGAGGCACATGCCCAGAACTCCACAGTTCCACCATATACGAGAGAGGGAACAGTAACAGAGAAACGATCTTCGATCTTGCGCGTGTGGTTGCTATTCACGGTATTTACTGTAAGCTCTCCGAAGGATAAACTTTATGACGTCCGAACTTTGTGGATAGCTGAGAGCTGCTGCTGTGAGATACCTAGATTACTGTGGCCCTATCAAATTACTGTGGGCCTCTGAACCTTTCATTCTATTGACGGCATCTACATAGTAAGCTGTCCGCAAAGCCCTCAAAGACACAAACCCTTGCTAAATATCGGAAACACCAGGAGAAGGAAAGACGAGGGAGAAAAAAAAAAGAAAAGGAAAAAGAAAAAAACACCAACGACAAGCAGCAGCAGCGAGCCACAAAGGCAACCTACAGAAACCACCAACCCAACAGAAACCCACACTCTGCCCCCCATACCCGCCGCCAACTCTCCCTACTAGGTTGGGCTTCTGCTTCTGCTCATGCCGCAGCAGCCTCAAAAGTCACTACCTCCTAAGGATTCAAGAAGTGTCCTGACTGGATTCCACTGTGCATTGCTGCTACACACCTAGAAAAATAAATAAAATAATACCGCTCCAGAACACGCAATACGACCAGCTCTCCACATTAAATTGACAGTGCCTTTCGGGGAAATACACAGGCGAGTACCAACGCCTCGGGATTCGCTTTTGTAAAGAGAGTTGTTGGTTGTGCCGGAAACCGAGTCTTGGTGCAACAACGACGTTCTCGCTGTCAAGTCAGTCAGTCAAGTCCCTTTCCTTTAGTTTCCTAGGCCTCCACTCTCGGATCTTTACCCCCCATGAAATACACTGAAACACCCGCCTTCAAATACCCACTGTGATGATATTGAGCGTGATATCCTTATAAACAAGCTAAATGTATTTACATGATATGCCGCCTAGGTTTCCCGTTGATTCGTTGTCTTGGGGTGAACACGCTGCTTCTCTTTCCACGCCCCCTCAGGCACCCCTCACTACCACACGGCATACAACCACGATGGCAGTTACTTGCGATAATACAGCAGAACGCAGCGGTGCTGCTTCATTTACAGATTTCGTACACGCGGGCTCGAAATGCGATCATCAAGTCCAGCTATTCGAATCTGAAGAGCAACTATACAAAATCATATCAAGCTTCATTGTGCCCACGACCAGGAGCGACGATGCAGTAGTCATTCTTGCCGGAAAGAATCGTATTGAAACGCTTGAAGCATGCTTTAGAGAGCAGCATGTCAACACGGACCGGATGAAGCATCAGCAGCAACTAGTGTTTGTAGATGCTGGGATTCTTGCCGACACTGTTGTTCCCAATGGCATGTTTGAGTCAGAGAAGATGGAGGAGTTTCTGCGCGATCTTTTTGGAAGGGTTCAGAAGAACTACCGGAGAGTTTTTGTATATGGAGAGTTAGTGAATATATTGTGCGAACGCGGCTTGCACACGGCCGCGCTGGAATTGGAACAGCTGTGGTCACGGTTTGTTGCCGGAAGAGAGATCACCCTCCTTTGTGGTTACGACCTAAACAACTTCAAGGATAGTGGTCTCGAAAACGTCTTTGAGCGTATATGTCGACTACATACACACATAAAGCCCGCCGAAAATTTCAATGGACCAATAGAAACACCTGAACAGCAGAACCTCATAATTGCCTCTCTACAACAGAGAGCCAAAGCTCTCGAAAACGAGGTCATCCGCCACCGGGCCGCAGAAACCACATTGCAAGGAGCTTTAAGTCTTTTATCTGCTCGGACTAGCGAAACTGTTGGTCGAGAGCGTGATGGATACTTAGCACTTTTGTCGATGCTCCCAGTTGGTGTCTGTGGCACAAATTCTGGTGAAGGCAATCTTAAATACTTCATCAATCAGCGTTTCTGCGATATTTCCGGCCTTTCTGAAGACACTATACGTGACGGCGGCTGGATCAATGCCATACATCAAGCAGACCGCGAACAAGTCGCCGCGAGCCTGCGCGCTGTCAAGAACGGCGAGGATGCATTCGCTCGATGCGAGTATCGGTTCGTGCATCCAGATAATACAATTCGCTGGGTTGCGTGCGAGGCCGTCGCAAACGACAGTGGATATTTGCAAACTGTTTTCGATATTACAGAGTTCAAGATGCTGGAGAAGGAGCGGCTAGATACTATGAAAGCAGCAGAGGAGCACCAACGGATGCGCGCCGCGGAAGCCGAAAGACACCGCCAAAACCGCGAGCAATTCGTTGATTCTCTTTGTCACGAGCTTCGAAATCCCCTTGGTGGAATATTTGGGAATGTAGAACTTCTCAAGATGGGCCTCGAAACACGGCGTTCAGTATTAGAAAAACCCTTCGTCTCACCGGAAGATTTGCTTCTTCTCCGGGAACAGCTTCTCCTCGACGAAGAGTCACTCGACGCGATTTCTACCTGTGCAGTGCACCAACAAACCGTGACGGATGATGTTCTCAACCTTTCAAAACTAGAACTTGGCAAAGTGGTGCTAAAGAAAATCAGCTTTGATCTTAAGAGCACTATTTCTTCTGTGTTAAAGATGTTTGAGGTTCAGGCTCAGCGAAAAGGCATTGAACTGCGCGCCTCCATGCCCATCTCTGACTCCGTCATTACAGCAGACCCACATAGGCTTTCACAGATCATCATAAACCTCATTGCCAATGCTCTCAAATTTACAGATAAAGGCAGCATCACTCTCATGTTTGATATAGTTGAACGTACACTGGAGAATACCCTTTTTCGGATAACTGTTTCAGATACCGGTGTTGGATTGACATTGGACGAAAAAGCAGTCCTTTTTGATCGGTTCTCACAGCCATCCTCAACTAACTATTCGGAGGTTGGAGGCACAGGTCTTGGACTTCACATTAGCAAGAATCTCGTGGAATTGATGGGCGGTGAAATACTTGTGGACAGCAGAAAGGGGCAGGGTTCGAAATTCACGTTCACTTTTAGATGTGAGGAGGATCGGAGTGGGGGAAATTCTTTCAGCTTATCAAAATCGAGTCCGAAGAGCTACAAAGACTCGATATCAGTTATGGCCTCAGCCCAGACTCAAGCAATCATACCTTCTGTTATCCCCCGTCCAATAAATCACATCCTTATCGTCGAGGACAACCATATCAACCAGCGTCTCATCACCAGACTGCTATCATCCGAAGGGTTTGCTTGCACGGTAGCCTCCAATGGACAAGAGGCCCTCGACCTTCTCGAAAGCCTATCTAGAAGCAGATCACCGATAGATCTTGTCCTCATGGATATTCAAATGCCCGTGATGGGAGGGATTCCCGCAACACTTGAAATCCGCCGTCGAGAAAAGCATTCGCCTACTACTTACACCCCTTGCTCACGTATTCCCATCATTGGGCTCTCTGGAAATGTCCGTGAGAACCATGTCCTGAACGCGCTGGAGAGCGGGATGGATGATTACCTTATCAAACCTGTTAGAAAAGTGGACATCATGACCGCTATCCAGAGGTTTGGGGATGATGTTGATATGGATGAACGACCTATCCCCAATGGGACAAAGCGAGCACGATAAACTGTTTATTTATGTATGGGATGTCTTTCCTGCTTGAATTCTGAGCTCTGCTCAATCTATCAACTTAGTGATTACACTTGGCTTACTTGGATTTGATCTTCAGTGAGCCGAGCATAAGACGTCCCCTTTATGCTCAAGTACTATTATTTCTGCATTTATGGATATTAGGGCGCACACTAGAGTTGGGGTGAGAGAGGGCCATGTTTGTATGAATCTGAAGTTGTGGCGGTTTACTTGCGGTTGGATACATACATGGAATGGAGTCTAGGATAAGCTTGGGAATTTTGCTTTTTTTTCCTCTCCTTTTTTCTACTTTTATTTTTGCAAGTTTAAGGGGTCCTTTTTTATTTCTTGTAAATACTTTAGCGCGTATAAGGGGTTGTGGTAATGTTTGTAAATACCTGGTCTGCTTTTATTTTTGCTTTCAACTTTTCGGTTTTTGTTTTTCCACGTCAAATATCATCTCGGGCTGGTTTTTAGGCCGCTTATTTCATTAATAATTCTTTCGTAATGTTGCTTTCAGAGATTTTAATGTTTTCTTCCGTTTATTTTCTTGTGAATGCATTAATTAAGGGGGCATTCGGTATTTTAATGTTGTCCGGGCACGTAATTACTCCGCAGTGTTGGTACATGGTTTGATAATTGTTTTTCGCGTTTCCAAGCTCTTGCAAACATCAATTGGTCAGGGCGCGCATCGTAATTGGCCAGAAACAAAAAGCCACAACTGTGCAACACCACCACTAGAATCGCAGCATCACAGATGTTTCACTCAATCACAACCTCGCACTCCACCAACTCTCGGGTCCTGCTGCCTATCGAAATTCTCAACGATGGTAGGGTTGGCCGAGTGACAAGCTATGAAACACGTCAGTGCGGGTTTTGAAAGAAAGTAAAGAAGGTTCGGGAGAAAACGGGGTTCTGGATATCGTGGGCAGCAATGGTTTGTGTTTGCCGCGGATGGGATTGGTTAGGTGTTGGACTCTCGGGGCGATGGTCTTGGGTTGTGAACTCCACACATAGAGGTTTGGGAACAGCATGTGCCACTGAGAGGTCTTGGGCAGGATTTACTACAAATGGACTTCCACGGCTATTTTTGTTGTAAATTTTGTTAAAATACCCTGCCGGTTGTGGGGACTTTTACTTATATCTTGGATTACTGAGGGCAGCATTCGGGATTAGTAGGGGATGAGTGATCGCCTGTGAATATCGACACAGCTACATGACTATGTACATGTACTTGATATCCCACGGGATATACGTACAGCACACAGGGTCAGTTACGCTGGCGGATATTTTATTGCGCGAACAGTATGATTGTTAGGGTTGAATGGAGTCCGGTGAGGTATATTACCGTATATACATGTTGATACATTCAACAAATTGTATTAATATTGATGACACCGCGAAAGAGTGGGGTTTGAAGGTGCATGGGGTTGCCAGATATGCAGAGGCCTTGATTTTCATCTCTTAAAACCGTACTCCTTAAATCCCGGAGAGATAGTAATTTGAGGACTACAGACGAGATTGTAAATCTTTTGAATGAATATGGTGCTAGGAATAACGAGATGATTAATGGAGTAATGGTGACAAGCTTACCACATTAATCACAGGAGGAAGATAAGCTAAAGGAGGAGGGTGGTTGTACCAAAAAGAAGAGCGCTTGGCAGACCTAAACTGGACGAGGGAATAAGTTTTCTGGATATTCAGAACCATGAAGGCTGCACACTTTCTTTGTGTAACGACGAAGAGGAGAAGAGGAAAAGAAAAAGATTGTTGAATAGAGTGAGGATCGAACTCACGCGGGTTGCCCCACTAGCACCTGAAGCTAGCGCCATAACCACTCGGCCATCTATCCAGATGTTCCGCTTGTTAAAAGTTTCTACAATATTGAAATAATTAAAACCATAGGTTTCTTGAGTTGAGAATACTTTATTAGCCGATACGTATACTTACTCAATCTCCCTATAATTTTGTGAAATATGAAGTATTGACTTTCTTGCTCCCTTCACACTTCGGTTGAGTCCTTCTTATTCTGATCTGTGCACTCTTATTTTGGGGTGGTCTAGAAATACTCAAACTAATGCCTAAGATTTGCTGATCAACACTACAGGAGTACTACTGTATCTCTTTTGGGCCAGAAAGCATCCTAGTACTTAATCAAAATACCACTGGGGTTAAATACGTGAGGAAATAAGATTCTTTGCATCCCCACGTGGGCACTTCGGCACTAGGTATGATAGAGTTGACTCGAGTGATGGTTCGTGAACATGTCCGGTGAAAAAGAGTCCGAGCATTCTTTAACTTGGAAATAATCCTTTCAATGAAGACAGATCCAAGTAAAGTCAACACTGAAACGGAACAAGGTATATCTAGTTGCCGACTGCGGTTTCGGCTTCAACGCAATTTAAGCCGATGATCGGTTTTTCGGCCCGGTACTGACTTCTTAGCGCAACGTGTTCAAAACTCGCAAGCTCGATGAGTCGAGAGACAGATAAAGCTTTCTGGAATAGTCTACCTTGAAGTATTCTCGATTGATACCTGTATCCATGGGAATCTGGGACTTTATCTTGATGGCCGGTGCATGGACAAAGAGATGGGGAGCTATGGGTATATAATACGCTAGGATACTACAGCTAGCCGTCAATAGAGGTTTATTCAAAACGAAAGGAGCTCGGAGCTGGGACTGATGAAACCTGCCTCTTCTTTCTTCTACTCAAGTACGTGCTCTCCTCTCGAAACATAAGTGGCGATCTTCCTTGTACTCAACTGGATACAACCATGGTACACAGATGGGGCCTTGGGACCGTTTGACGGAGGTGCTCGTAAGTAAGTAATATACGAAGGCCTTGTAGATACAAGTAATTAATAAAAGAAGTGGGATGTGTATCGTCTACCTCATATAATAAGCTTCCAGAAGCCATGTACCTACGCGGCTTGTTTCTGATCTGTCCTTACCTCCCCACAAATACTTAAGGAACTGAGACCTCCTTGGACCTCGGCCGCACTTGTATCATTGGTCCTCAGCCCCGCCTAAAAGAAAACATTCCCGCTCATCTCATACCGATGCGCCGTTTATCGGCAATTATTTTTCCTCTCGATTTGATTGGCCAGGCCAGGTTCCCTTTTTATGGTCAATGTGCCAGCTAGAACAAGATTGTTTTGTCCATGACGCCAGTAGCTAAAACAGTGTTTCTATTAGGGTTAGGGTTGCTATCTGCGTTGGATTTTGCCGGGTGTCTTTCTGCTCATCCGGTTGTTAAGCTGCCAATTTTTCGTTGGCCACAAGGGGACGGCGGTGGTGAGCTTGAAATCGAGCAACAAAAAATCCAACGAGCGATCTCTTTGTCTTCATACTTTTTACCGCCATTTCCAGTTCCAAGAAAGGGTGGAAGGACGAAGGAAAAGAAGGGGTTCACCATGTTCGGACGATACGCCATCATCGCCGTCTCTGCTGCGCTGCTAGGACTCCCGCAGCTCATTTCTGGAGCTGTGTCCGGTGGGGAGGTGCCGGCACCAACTTGCAAGGCAGTTTCAGTGAATTACATCACACATTCTCTTCCACAGCAATGTTTACGGACATCGTGGGCTCCACAGACCGTCACGGTTACAGCTACAGTGTCTGGTAGTGGAGGTGAAGGACTCTCGGGGGTGAAGCCAACGACAACAACGGTAACGACGGTAGCAACGACCACGAGAGTCTCATCGAAAGGCTTGAGTTTTGGAAAACCAAATACTAATATTGAAAAATCTCACGCATCTATCACAACAGCTTCTACCGCAATTAATCAATCGGTACCACCATCGTCAGCTATAGCTCCGGTGAGCTCCACGCCTGTTCCAATCGAGCAACTGCCGAAAGAATCAGATTCAGATGATTCACCCCTTGATACGGCAAATTTCCTCTCCTTCGAGGAATGGAGGGCCCAAAACCTCGCAAAAGCTGGTCAATCGACCGAGAACTTCGAGTACCGCGTGCGAGAACCACGAAACGATCCACGGACGATCAACAATGCCCTAGATGCTCTTGGTGAAGATGCCGAAATTGAGCTAGATTTTGGATTTGATTCAGTTCCCGAGTACCGAATTGGCCGAGCCGAGAGAGCTGCTACTCCGGCACCCGCACATACGGAAGCCCTTGGAGGATACTCTAGGTCCAAAGATGCGGGAAAGACTTGCAAGGAGCGATTCAACTATGCATCTTTTGACTGTGCTGCTACAGTTCATAAAACGAATCCAGGAAGTAAGGGTGCTACAGCAATTCTTGTAGAGAATAAAGACAACTACATGCGGAACAAATGTGGCCAAGAAAATAAATTCTTTGTCGTGGAGTTGTGTGAGGATATTCTTGTGGACACGGTTGTCCTTGCCAACTTTGAATTTTTCTCTTCGATGTTCCGGACCTTCCGAGTTTCTGTTAGTGATCGATACCCCGTTAAACAGAATGGATGGAAGGACCTTGGCACATTTGAAGCAAGAAATACGAGACAAGTCCAGGCGTTCCTGATCGAGAACCCATTGATTTGGGCACGTTATCTTCGCGTGGAATTGTTGACTCACTATGGAAACGAGTTTTACTGCCCAGTGAGCTTGTTGAGGGTGCACGGGACAACTATGATGGAGGAGTTTAAACATCAAGAAGAACTCTCGAGGGGCGAAATTGAGGACGATGTGAGAGAGGATGTGGTTCCGGAAGCCGTAGCAGTGGGTATTCAGGATATTTCTATCACACCGGCGCCGACGGAGGCAGAGAAGCCAATAGAAAGTTATTTGGAGTATACAACGACGGACTTGGATGAAACTTCGGCGGAGATCTATGAGCCAAATCAAGATTCCGCTAAGAGGAACTTGATTGATACTCCACCGCCAGTATGTACGTCGAGGGCCTTCTATGATGTCTACATTTTCGATCCCCCTCGACTACCTGTATGCGGGGCAATTCACACGCCTTCAACCACCTTGCGAACCGTCAGGGCTCACTCCGAGCCCGAGACTTTGATAAACGCGGGATCTATTTCTACAGCGAGCTCGAAGACAGTTCAATCGGCGCTCCAAGCAAGTACCAAAGAACATATCGCAGCTGCCCCCTCTGTTCAGAGTCTACCACAACGGGATACTGCTCCTACTGCTATCAAATCTCAAGCGGTTTCGGTCACGCAAGAGGTGAAGAACAACCATCCCCAACAACAATACCATGCCTCCCCTCCGCCGTCGCCCCCGAGTCCTCCACATGCGATCCCTACAACCCAGGAAAGTTTCTTCAAGACAGTCCACAAAAGGCTTCAGTTGCTTGAGCAAAACGCCACTCTTTCGCTCCAATATATTGAGGATCAGTCGAGGATTCTGCGGGATGCGTTTATGAAAGTCGAAAAGCGTCAGATGGAGAAGACAGCACACTTCATTCAACAGTTGAACACAACTTTTCTAACAGAGCTGCTACTTTATGTATGTCAATTTCCATTAATCGAATTATCGCTGCAGGTTTGGTATTAACGAAATATGTTCAAATAGAAGCAACAATATGACCAACTCTGGCAATCAACAGTAATAGCCCTCGAATCCCAACGCGAGCAATCAGAACGAGAAATGATTGCTGTCTCCACCCGTCTCACCATCCTCGCGGACGAGATGATATTTCAAAAACGAATGTATCAAATTCAATCTGTGCTCCTGCTCATCACCATCGGTGTTGTTATATTCTCCCGAAACGGAAACCTTGATACACCTCTCCTACAACACATGAGGACCCGCAGTACCCTGCGTATGCTCGACACCCCCCCATCTAGCCCGCTTCCGGGTGTCACTATAAGTAGGGCAATGTCTCACCGCCACCATAAAAGTGATGATTCCATCACATCTCCAACATTCGAACTTTCGCCCCCTTCCCCGGATGATTACATGTCGCCTATAGAAAGTAGTGAGTCCATGCCAAGTGGCACACAAAGCTCACCAGCAACACCTAGTGGAACACGCCCTCGCCGTAGCTGGGGACACCAGTTTGGACCGAAGTTGAGAGTCGAGAGCAAAGGCCGCAGATGGCAGAGGTTACCAAGTCCGCTAGGTAGTGCCGTGGGTGAGGACTACGACATAAAGAGCCCGGAGGACGAGGAATACGAAAGGACTATGGAGTTAGATGGAGAGACAGGGTTACAGACTCCGGAACCGAGCCCGGAACCGGAGCCAGAGCGATCTTCGGCTCAAGAATTAACACCGGAAACGAGTTCAAGTGGGAGCTCATCCTCATAATGTGAGTCACGAGCGTTTTAGCACGTTCTCAGAGGCGGTCGTCTGATTTTACTACTTTCTTTTATGTGTTTACGCACTTTGCGGATTTACCTAATACCTGGTGTTGGTGCGCATGCTTTTGGCGTTTATCTTTCTTTTCGTATATACCTACTCTGTTTGAGTATTAGAGTGAAAAAAAAGTGTGGGTCTATTTAACGCATAATAATTCTTGGGAAAACTGGAGTATGAGGAGTTTAAAATTATTTTTCTATGTTAATCTAAGATGGGGATTTAAAACGGGGGCGCTAGGGGAGGGGTGAAGATGTCATAATCACATATGTGTTTTTTCAGTTTGTTTATTTGTCCCGGAATAATATGATGTCGGTTATCGATCTATCTCGCATGAAAAGGATATTGACGAATGATTTTCCGACAAGTTGCGAAATCCCTAGATTGATAGGTTTTGAGTTGAATAAAAAGGGACGAGTGAATTTACCGTTGGCAGCTGGTGCGAACAGCAGTACTTGCATTTACCTACATGTGCTTCATGCCGGCCTTGGGGTGTCGAGGGCCTGGCTAGCTAGTCCTAATCGCATTATTTTATGAAGATGCGCGTGGGATAAGATCATTGTTTCTATATAAGGGTATTGTATTCAATCTAGTACGTAATTCCAGGGGGTTGGGAAAAGATGAAAAAAAAAAAAAATATGTAATTTGAAATTCTGTGCTATTTGGGCAGGACTATTTTTACACATACTGTGTTGCTATAGTACCGCAAAACATGGTCTGTGTAACACGACGATAGCCTAGGGAATATATGGTCTGGCGTGGTCATTAAACGTTAAAGAGTGTTTTTTTTCATTGAATGGGGCCCGATTTGTCGCAGTTTTTGGTTGTTTGTGGGGACCTAACTACTTCTAGCGTGTACGTAAGGATTGATTCATGGATCATAGACTATCACTCGCTAAGTACTAGCGCCGTTCTTGACACCCCAACGTAATCTCACCTCTCGTCTTGTTCAAATCATAAAATTTTCATCACTCTAGACCTTTCAAGGTTGCGATCTATTCTGCCCCCGGGTGTGAGGACTTCGCCCGGCTTGATGTATCGACTCGTGAAAGAGTCTACATGGGCGCACGTACGCATCACAAATCACACGAAGTTGAGATACATGTGGGTTAGGGTTGCGACGGGGGAGGAAGTATGTGCGTTTTATTTTTTTACCGTAAGAGATCAATACGGAATGTTCTAAGATTTTTAGGGTTTGGGTTTGTCAATATGCACAGTATGAATCATTATGCGCGTTGCGCAATTGCACGATGAACTCTGACATCGTTTCCCAAACTAGCGCTCTTTTAAACGATTTCCTTACGCAAGAATATATACTCCAGGCTAGATTAGTCTTGCGTCGTCTATGGATGAACAAAAGCCCTTCCTCCTCCCTTCCTCCTCCCTTCCTCCTCCCTCTTCTTCTTTTCCTCTCCTCATCTTCGTCTGAAACAAAATTCGCTCTTTAAATCCCCAAATCTCTAAACTATTAAACTTCCTAAATTCCATAAAAATCCTCAAATATGAAAACTACCGCACTTTTCGCGAGCATCACGCTCTTCAATTTGGCTAATGCTGCAGAGTTTACACAATTAAATCCTGACACATTTGCTCGCTCCATTAATTCTTGCTACGAACAATCTACGCAAGCTATTACCCCCCCCTCAGAACATACCAATTTCACTCAACCTATGAGACGCCCTCACATCGCGCATGAAGCTGAGGTTGACTGTATCTGTCAATTGCCCGAGTTCGCGCCAACAGTCGAGAACTGGTGGACGAGCGGTGCGACCGAGTGGATCAAAGAGTACACTCTACTCAACAGCGAGAAAAAACGGTTTCAAGAATTAGGAATCGTAGGCTTTATTGCCGAGGATTTGCTAAAAAAGACTAATTTTAGATGTGACGTCGAGTCGGTGCACAGGTGTGTGGTCGAGTGCCAAGACGTGGTCAGGAAAGTCGCAGACCCAGAGGTCGCAAGGAGAGTATGGTTTATTTTGAGGAGTGCTGGGAATATCGTTGAAGTTTCTAAGATGGTGCATGTAAGTTTTTATTCCCTCTTTTTTTGTCCATTTTTACCGTTTTCGGTTTAGTTGTGTGTTGGGTGCACGTGAGGACATTAGCGGTAATGATAATTATCGCTGGTTTCTTAGCATTTGCCCCATGCTATGATATCCATGTATAAAATAAGTCTGTGAGTGAAGCTAACATTTTTCAGGACTCTCTTGTTGCTGCCCAGCTAAATATGGCTCAGCTCGTGCCTGTCATCGCGGATACTTTCTATTGGACACCCGGTATGGATGACCAAACCTGGGCCCTGATCTTCACACATACCGTCAATACTCTCTCTTTCCTCTTTGGCCAATTCTTCCCCATGGCTCGTGGTATGATTCAAATCAACCAGCTACTTGACAACATGGCCAGTGCAGCCGCTGAGAATGCTGCCATCGCTGAAACCAATCTGCGTCTTATGGAGGATGAGTTTTTAGCTGTCCCCGAGTACGGTGTCAGCCGCGAAGAGCGTGATCTGCTATTTTCCAGACTTGAATCACATGAAGAGAGCCTTGCGTATTGGACCAAAAAGTCTGAGTGTACCGGCAAGACCGCTAGGATTTCTAAGATGGGATTTACCGATATCCTTGTGGGACAGATTGGATCAGGTATTAGCAATGCATTTGGGACCCTGAATTCATATATTAGCTTTGAGGCAAGACACCCTGGATATGAGAAGCCGAGGGAGACAAACAAGATGGGACTCGATGCATTTATTAGATCCTCGTCTATGCGTGCAAGGGGGGCGCTGAGAGAAGGCATCAATGTCATCTTTAGCGGAGCTTTGGCGGAAAGTGATGGTTAGTGGGGTTCTTTGTACACTTTATGTCTGGATGGTGTTATTAACTTGTGTATTTTCGTAGGGTCATCTATATTCTCCAATTTCACCATGGCAGGAAACTTTCTTCCTGACAGGTCTGGTGATGCACAGTTGTGGAGAGATATTGGTGCTGAGACGTAAGTATATATTTTCATATATATAATGTATATATATACTTTAGTGAGTGGATATGTTATTAACCCTCATAATAGGGGTCTCACACGTGGCCTGATGCTAAAAACTCTAAACGCGGCCATCAACTCCCAAGCAGTATACATCACCTGCTCCAAGGATTACCGTAGGACCGCCACAGATTATAGACCCACTGTGGAGAAGCAGAAAGCCGGTGCCGCAAACTGCAAAAAAGACAATTCAGGTCCCAAAGACTTCAAAGCCTGCGTCGAGGGTTACTGCTGTTATATCTACAAATGGAACAACAGAGGCTGGGCCCCCTCATGGCGCAATGACAAGCTCTTTGGCGCCGATGTCATAGATGATGAACCATGGAATGTCAAGATCACTGATATAATCACCTCCTCCGTCCAAGCCTACATTCACGGTATCCGTGAGATTACTCCCACCTACTCACTCACGGCCGGCATCTTCCGAAGTCTCCGTAGCGATAATGTCGGCTCTCTCTGGGACCCTACCACCCCTGGTATGTTCACTGTACCTGTATGCTTCTCAACACACAACTGGGCTACCGTCATCGATGGATACCGCTTCCCAATCAACGGTCATATCGACGCACAGCCAAGAAACTCAGTCAAGAACCTACCCTGTAACTGTGGTCCCTGGGGGAAGGACACGGAGCAGGTGTGGAAGGAGGTTGGGCTTTGGAACCTCGATCCTAATGATAGATGGTTCAACGATTATACTACAAGCAAGTGCGGTTACCAGATCTACGATAAAATTGAAGACCCTTTGGAGAAGTACGTGGCCTATTGTCGTGTCAAAGTCGGTACCACGTGGAATTTCAGGATCCGAAGTGCGGGAGAGCACTGGAACTGCCCGATGGTGCTAAATGCTATCAAGAAGCTGGGATATCCGGATGTGATGGACATGAAGGAGAATGATCCCGATGTTTATCAAGCACTGTGGTGTCATGCTATTCATCCAGGATCGAGCAGGAAGGAGTGTAAGAACTACAACGAGCCATTGTCTGTTACGATGGTAAAATTAGGGAAGTGGGGTGCCTCTGAGATAGCAGATGAGATTGAACTAGGGCCAGGAGAGGAGCAGTTGGTGAAGATGGTACTTAGAGATGGACATGGGATGCCGTTAACAGATTAGAATTGTGTTATGGGACTTGTTGTTTATAGTTGTTTGTATGATATTGGTGGTTTTTTCTCACCATTCATATTATGTATTTGTTTTATATGTATTTCAAGATTATAAAGAATCAGAGAATTTATGATGGAAGTCGGCGCTTTAGCCTTTTCTTCACTCTTTATATTTGTACTTTTGATTTTTCAGCTTTCGATTAATTGTAAACTCTGTCAGTAAGTCCTCAAGATAATTGGAGAGAGGGCGGTAGGGAAAAGGGGAAATTGGCACATATAGTTTAACGCTTTATTGAAGATTACTACTTGTCTTGCTGAAGAAGTATGCTTAAAGATAAATATGGCATAATTATAGCCTTTTGATGCAATATGGACCCGGGGGGGGGGGGATGTTATCGCTCACCCCAGGGGAGTATTTGTTACCCAAAGGAAGCGGAGATATCTAAAAAGATGTCTTTTGTGTTAATGAGAGAACGAACTAAAGTTGAAATTATGGCTCACTTGCATTTTTATAATTCATTTAATGAATAGGGTTTCCCGTTTGTTACAAACCGCAATAGTATAAAAATCAAGAGCTCGGACATCCTACCCAAGTTCGTGATACTATCAATATACATTAACCTGTTAGTTTCTATTCCCGCTTTCACTCTCGCTGTCGGTTTTTCTTCTAATTCTCCCTTGTAGATAGAAGATTATATATGGCATCTATGAATCCAGCAGTTGGGTGATTGAGGTGGCTATACACCAAAAACAACGCCAGATTTCGTTGCCTGGATTAGGGATATAATATTTGTCAAGTCCATTGGGACGCTGTATATGTAAGTATCCTTTACTTAGAACGAAGAGATCCGATTTGAATTCCAATTTTGGGCCATTCCTTCTAACGTAAATCCTCCATCACAGTACTTCGGGGAGTGACTATAATTCATGCCGGGAATTTCTGAAATACATTTATTTTAGTATATGCATGCGCGCAGTGCGCGACCTATGACTATAACATCACGTAACTCGTAGCTGTGTACTAAGGTGTAGCGAAAAGTGATCAGAATCTGATAAGACAAATACACGTATTCACCGCAGCATTCACTTATCAGATTCTGATCACTTACCCTCAACACCCGTACGTGTATTGAATCATGACTTGTCACTCGAATCCATGCAATTCCCTCTCGTGACAACGACGTTGCAACCAATAACAACGCTCCAAGCTCATATCATCTTCATGTAGGTAAATATCTGTTTAACTACATGTACATGTATATATGGGCACTAGCTAAGTCTAGCGTTCTTTAAGTCATCGAATATGAGTCGAGAACGGATAAATAACTAGGCTCTTGGCTTTCATCTGAAGGGTCCAAGTACTTTTTCAGACAGTTAACTCATTTTATTAAAATAAACCAAAAAAGTTTGATCTAACCAACCGCTGCTGCACAGGCATCAAAAATCACAGGTCTTGCATCTTCCGAGAACAGGTTGCTTAAAGTTTCAAAGAGAAAAACTTTTGTGGCCAACGTCACTCTCTGACTAGCACCCCTCAGGCTTTGGTTACCCAGCTTAGAGTTTACAGCAAGACCATGCGTTTATAACCATCAGCCCCTCCTCCTTGAGCCTCCACCCTCCTCCACACATCATCCTCCGCCGTCTTCGGCTTTTGTTCGAATGATCATTTCATCAGAACCAACCGGGAAAAAATCTATGAGTTCATATGCGAATGGTGAAATGTTCCCCCACATTTGCAGAAATACCGAAGCGGGGAATAAACAGACTGTGCAACAAGCTCTCGATCCATCAGAGTTTCCCAACGCTAGATATAGATGGAGGAAATTAAAAATGAACTACTCGGAGGAGATCCTACGAATGTATCCTTACCTAGCGGAGCCTGATTCCGACGGGGATGATGACATTGAGGAAGGAGAAGAAGACGAGTATGTGAGGTGGGACCCTGTTCAAAAAGTCCATGTGAAGAGAGAAACACCGCTTCGAGAAATAGCGAATCAGAATACCGGCACAATACCGACCGCGGAAACCGAGCGGTTCCTCCCGGAAGATATGGTTACTGTCGAGATACTTCTAAAGATGGTTTCTGAGGCTGATGATTTTGTAAGATTCAGGTTCTTTTAGTCCCTTTCTAGCTTTGTATCCTTTGCAGGAATCTGACCCTCTTCCCCCCCCAATAGCCTTTAAACTCTACAGCGCCAGAACTATCTCCAACGCGGGCCTCTACACCCCCAAACACATCAATTTCCGAGTCATTGCCGCTTCCTAGGGCACACCTTGGTAGTGAACATGATCGACCGCTCGAGGCATATGACCATCTACCCACCACAAGACAGCAAGATGAGTTGTTTATAGAACCACTAGGCCATCAAAACAACGAGAAAAACATCGATCTCTTACCTGAGTGTGTTCTACGAGGTTTACAGCAAAAGACGGAGGAAACTCGGGTCAAATCTGATTTTAAAGAATCGTGCACGATGTCTAATTCTCCTGGGCTGCCCAAGACATTGAGCCGTGAAACCAGCTGTCTTCAAAACGAGGAAAACAATTGTTCGCTAGCTATCGAAGACATGGAAGCTGTCAATGAAGATGCAAAATCCATGGAGGAATTAGAGAAGGTTTTCGCAGAACCAAGCCGCTACTTCGTGGCGGGAATCAAAAACAGGCTTCTGCGCAACTTTCAGTTCAACGAGTGCAATCCAGAGCACCGTTTTCATGGTTTTCGAGGCTGTAAGAGCTCACGGAGAGCTATTATCGTTTATAGACGCACATACAAGAGACCGATGTCGCGGGTGATTTATCAGCCGAAGCCGCTGCGTAAGCAATGGGGTACACACCTGGATAATGACCAAACGATCGCTGTGTGTGAAGCTATTGACAAGAACCGCCCCGAGATAGGGGATTATTACAGCTGCGAATTCACACCGTCCACTAAGAAAGAAGCTACAGATCTAGGCAATAAACCAGTCAACCCCCCAAACCTCTGGGGGGTGTTGAAAATCGATAATAACCCTAAACTTACGCACTCAATTGATAACCATGGTGCGTCTCTGGGTATGCTTGACCTTGTAAACTGTGGATACATGCCTTTAGAAAAATCTCTTAGCGTAACGGTTGGCGGTTACTTTGGTTTCAGTGCTTCAATCTCTGAGCACATTCCGGATTATGATAGGGATTTGGTGGACCGCTGTTTGTCAGCGACGAAGAAACGTCCAGGCCCGGTATTAGTAACAGAAGAACCTTCAGATACTTTGCCGGATATGGCGAGAGATCTGGCCTATCGAAGGGGCGAAGCTGCAGGTCGCCAGCACATGATGGAAGCTGCCATGAAGATAGCCAATGAGATCGTCAAACAAAAACTCTACAACGCATGCTCTGAAAAGTCAGAATTCTTAGACACCGATCTGACGATCAAACGGAGTTTACAGCAGGCTGCTTTAGGTTCCTATGAGGACCATACTCAATATGAGGAGGTCTCGAGCCATGCGCGGGCAGTTCGCGAACACCACTCTCCACATACGGAACTTGAAGAAGTGAAAAATCAGCATGGAAAAGAACCCATCGATTGGTCTAACAAGAAGACAAATGAGTTCAGAAGGTCATGCGGGATATCTGATCATAGTCTCAAGGAGTATCCCTTAAGTCTAAAGAATTCCGGTGAGAAGCGTAAGCACCACGAAGAGCTTGAGGAAGTTAAGAGTTCTTCTCGTAAGCACCGCCGCCGTAGATCCGCTTCCAAAGAAAATGATTCTCGTCATTATCGCCTGCAGGATAAGAGTCGTAGTCGTAGCGGGCCTTCTAAAGATTCCGGCCGTCGATACGACGAGAAAAATAGTCCCAGCAGACCACACAAGGACGCCCGCCGCCGACATGACGATAGTGATATTCCTGGCAAATCTTATAAAGACTCTCGTCGCCGACAGGATAGGAGTCACAGTGCCAGCAAATCCAGGGAGTCAGACCGTCGACTCAATGAGAAAAATAGTCCTAGTAAATCACACAAGGGCTCCCGCCGCCGAAATGGCGATATTGATAGTCCTGGAAGATCTCACAAGGACCCCCGCCATCGTCAACACGACGAAGTTAACAGCCCTAGCACGATTTACAAGGACTCTCGTCGAAAGAAAAGCGAGCGAGAAACTGAAAAGTCTCATACCAAGACTCAAGACCGTTCTCCTAATCGTGGTCGTCATAGAGACCGTGGTTGTGAATCCAGTGAATATCAGGCGGCAGAGAAAATTATTGGAGACATAGTTAGGCGCAAACGCAAACATTGTACTCCTTCTCCACCCCCTCCACCCCCAAGTTTGGTGAAAGTTAAACCCCAGAAAGAGATGCAAAAGAGTATCTTCGCAACTCCTAATGAGGTAAATGAGCAGAAATGTCTTGAAGAAGTAAGCAGATCTCGACGTTCTTCACAGGAGCACCACCAAAGTACCCCAATTTCTGATACAATCCGGGATATAAAAGTCAAAGAATTTCCACTCATAGCAGAAACCATTGCTGCGAAGGAGAAATCCGCTACCCCCAAAGTCATTCCTACTAATCTGACCATCCAAAAAGAAGCCACTAGCAAAGAAGAAGCTTCTCAAACCGATGTTCGCCCGACTTCGAAGGTCGGACGGACCCTCGTGAAGGAGGGTACAGACAAGGAAGTTTGCAAAGTCGAGGTCCGCAAGAGTTTAGATATTGGAAATCGCACGAAGAGGGCTTCTAGTAATGTAGAATCCCCACGAACCGAGTTTTATCAGACCTCGAAGGTTACAGCTTCCACGATTGAAGCTTATCAGACCTTACAGGATGGGCCTAGTATTACAAAGAAGGCCGCAGGCAAAGAAGCTCCCCAAGTTGAAGTTCAACAGACCTCAAAGATTCCAGGTTATGTAGAAGACTCCACCAGCAGGGAGGAACCTCTACGGGCCGATGTGAATCTGAATTCGCAGGTTGAATCAGATATGGCGAAAAAGGGACTACAAACGCTCCCCCAGCCGCCTCCTCTAGGCCCTCGTTTTAAAAGCCTTTATCACAATCAAAGCAATGGTCCTCGAGATTATCAGTCTCCAAAAATCCATCATCCTCATGAGTATCACTCTCACAGTTACCAACCACAAGGCCACTACCCTCCAGGCCACTACCCTCAAGATCACTACGCTCAAGGCCATTACCCTCAAGGTCATTTACCTCAGGACCATATTCCCCAGGGCCATCTCTCTCAAGGCCATGTCTCTCAAGGTCATTCCCCTCAGGGTCATCCCTCTCAAGGCTACCATTCTCATGGCTATAATTCTCATAGCTACAATTCTCATGGCTACTACGCTCAAGACCATCAACCTCAAGTCAACAAATTCCAGGGCCGTACAGATCAGGGCAATCAGAACCAGAGCCGTCACGGTAATTTTTCTTTGGTTCCTGATGGAAACTTGATCAATTCCAGAAATGGACATCGGAGTGGCTATCGTGGTAGCAAATCTACTTTTGAGGAGAGACAACGCTATTAATCAAGTCATCCTAGTCTAAACCTCTTGAACATTCATAAATAATCGCTTAGTCCAAGAGGTAACAATTAGAATTGGATGGGTTTTTTATGGGGAGGAGAAGGGGGAATATCAACACACATGTTACTGTATACCATATGGAGGATAGTAAGGTCATTTTTTCCTGACATGAAAATCTACTTTTGTGGATTATACCCTATGTCGGGTTGCGTCCTATTGGTGAAAGCTTTAGAAATAGAAATATTTTACTTTGCGGTGTAGTGATCTCAGCAGTGCCTAATATGCATGGCATGCATGAATGTTAACCGGGAATGTACATACCTGGGCCGGAGTCGAGATTATGTGAGGCCCGTATAAACTGATGCATATTATATTACTGGTTGTAGATATTTCCTCACTTAGGGAATACATGTTAATACGAGCTCATGCCGCTGGTCTGTATCAAGCGAGAGCTGCAGTAGTACTTACATGTAGTGTCCACTCACTACTACCAAAAGACATGTATCATGTGTAGCGAGACTGTACGTGGAAGACAAATGGCTGGTACATGTAGTTAACCGATGTTAGACGGCCACCAATTAATGCAATTATCATTATAAATACATATTCTCACATGCACAGAGACCCTTTGTCTCTCTTGTAAGGATAGATTACGAGACTACCGAGAAGGGTTAGACAGTAGTTAATAACACTGTCTTATAGCTATCTAGAGAGAACACTCGGCACCGTACAAGTAGAACAGATATACCAGACTGGCTGGTATATCTTCGTGATTAGAGGACTCTTCCTCTATCATCAATCAAGTCATCTATCATACATTAAGCGTGATTTTCATCTCTTCCTTCTTCTTCTTCGTCATCACCGATACAGGTCACTGCGAAACCCATTGATTTCTCCGAGTAACACCGTACGTATTCCTGTCAAATAATTACAGAAGCACCGAATTGCTCTCTGTTGCACTGAGCGTTGACTGAATCGGACCGCTGTCAACGAACGGCCAAGCAGCAACCGTCGAGTGATAATCCGTGCGGAAATGACATCATCGTTACCCGGTCTGTGCACAGAGCCTCCTCCGACTCGACAATTCCCCCAGCTAAGACAAGCAAGGGTCGATTCATTTCGAGGCTCGGCGCGTGAGAGTTAACATACCCTCTTCTACGTTCCGTCGAGGGCATGATATTTCACTATAGTCGATCATTCACCATGCCCCCGTTAACACTCCCACGACGCCTATTATTCACAGCGGCGCCGCTGCATCTGGGTATAATAAAACCACAGAAATTTCTACTATATAGAATCTCACATGTGCACCCGGCGCCATTACAATGGTCGAGGAGGGTGTTCTCGTCGACTTGCATCTCTGGGCTGCAGCGGAGCAGGAATAGTGCTCCTTCCTCTGCGCCAGCTCCAGCTACAGTAGTAGCTGTTCAAGAAGTTTGCAATCCTTCTTTTATAAATTAAAGCTAGGAGTATGAATATGCTATTTTATTTGTTGCTAACGTATAGTCGTGAATACGGAACAGGACGCACCAGAACAGACATTCCAGAAAAAGAAATCCGCACGATCACAATCCAGCAAGATCTCACTGCGAAGAGTCGCCGCCGCCTCGGAAGCAGCAAAAAGCACAGCGGGCTACTACGGTGGCGAACAGCGGAGGAAAACCAAAGTATCTTTCCTTTCCTCCGCGACGAAGAGCTGGTCTGACAGATATTATGTTAGTTATGCACAGCCTACTGCACCGCCGAGAAATACGACCTCTCCCTTGCAGCGCTCATCCTCCTGCGGAAAGGATACACAATCGACCCCAACTCCACCGGCCTCGTAGACCAAGTGCTCCACCTCCGGCTCCCCACCACCGACACCGGAGCTGCAAATATCGCCACAACCAACAACGACGGCGAGCTTGGAGACGTCTTCATTTTCCCCTCCGGAAACATCGTCTCATGGTCTGTCCCCTCCTCGCGTGTCTCCTCACTAGCAAACACCCTCCTCCCCGCCGCCGAAAAGGCACAAACCAACGAAGTCGAGACCGAAGACCTCGAATACATAGAAGACCCGCGGCTCCGCCGCTCCCGTGTTGGTGGCGACATCATCATTCTCGGCACCGCCCCCTCCACCAACTACCCCCTCACCGAGCACACCGCCGACGCCCCAACCAGCGCTCCCGAGCCTTGGGACCACCACCAGCAGCAGCAGGCCCTCAGCGCCCCCGACGAGCTCAACATCACGCTCGCCAAAATCGCGTTTTCGTCCGGCCTAGCCCGCAGCACCAAGCTAGCTGTGCTCGAGAGCCTGCTGAACGAGTACCTTGCCGGCACGAGCAACATCCCCACGCTGCTGAGCCGTGGTAGCAGGTTGCCATTCACGCGCAGCTTCATCCTGCGCAAAACGGGCGAACTGTTGGAGTTCCGCGCGCAGCTGAATCTATATTCGGAGCTGACGGACTCGCTGCCCGATATATTCTGGGACTCGCGGCACGAGCTGGGCCTCGAGGGGTACTATGAGAGTATCGGAAGGGCGCTGGATGTCAATGTCCGCATACGACAGCTGAATGAGAAGCTGGACTATGCGTCGGGGATTGTGGAGGTGCTGCGCGAGAGGCTGAGTGAGAAGCATTCGCTGGGGTTGGAGTGGATGATTATTTTATTGATTACTGTCGAGGTTGGGTTTGAGGTGCTGAGGCTGTGGAAGGAGGGGAGTGTGGAGGAGAGGGAGGAGAGGGAGTATAGGAGGTGGAGAGAGAGGAAGGAGAGGGAGGAGGATGAGGAATATCGTAAGTGGAAGATGATGATGGCCCAAATCAAGGAAAAGTGAAACAGCGATTTGCAAAAAGGGAAGGGTTAAATCGCCGAACTAGTAGCTGGCTGGCTGGCCGCCGCACGCTGGACAGACTTGGTGGATTATGGTGGCTCATTTATGAATGGGTCTGTCCGGATATAATATGGGAAGTAAAGGTTCTCCCCTCAGAAAGCATCACATCAATCAATGCAACCCCCAGAAGTGTAAGTAATATACTGGAACGGTGACCATTGTAAACCAAAAATGAAAAGTGACCTGGCGCTGGTAATAACTATATCCAATCTTGTTTATCGCTGAATTTGATTGAGCACCTCGGAGCTGGTCGACAATCAAGAGCTATGGTATCGCACGTATCGACAAATTAGAGCCCACCACGCGCTACTTATATGTAGTTTCAAGCTACTCAAATCTACAATTTCTAGGTACCCACAATCCAGCATGTTCGATCCTTTTTCGTGAAAAGCTTTAGCCTATTGCAACTCGGGAGAGGCAGGGTGTGCTACTGAGAGTTGCACTCCCAGCTGGCGATTAGCCCCCAAAGCAGCACTATGGAGTTTTAAGGAGATGAGGGGGAAACTGGCGAATTTATAGAAAATATTTATTGCTAAGACGGGTTTATTTTGGCCGCTCTGCTATCAAGATAAGACGTTAGTATAGATGGAGAAAAATCTTTCGGGAGACCCTTAATTTGCACCCGGCGCCCTCACTATTAAATAGAGTCCAACTAGGAATCTCTCGGCTCACAATGGGATAGAAAATAGTTTAGAACCTTAGATTTCTCAGATCTAGACTGTATACTATACATGCTTCTCTGGTAGAACAAAGTGACCATTGTACTGCGTTCGACCCCGCCATATTAATATATTATATCGCCACAGCGGTGCCTATACCGAAGGGCATGTAAGTCTTTTGCTTTGTATTACTATTATTTTTATTCGTGGATTTGGTTGGGTTGCGCGTGTGATTCATGAAATATCACTCGTTAAGCTAGAGGATGAACTGGCCTAGGGTTAGGGTTGGTCCTAGATAATGCTCTGTCCTTACATCAACACACACATCTCATCCTTACCCATACAATGCAAGTGGCATTAGTCAACATGAATGCATTCCTAAGACAGTTGTCAAAGAAAATTATACCAAAAGAAGAAATCGGGAAACTTTGCGGTATTTGTGATGTTTTGTTCCGGGGTTGATGTGGAAGAGGATATCTTCCGTAACGTTCTTTGACATGGTTATGTTTTCATACGTCTATACTCTTGCTGATTGCAGTTGGTGGCTTGATGAGTTGTTTGATCGATGAGTATTATCAGGATGAGAAGGAGAGATAGAGGAAGAAACCAGAAATGTTCCCAAAGTACGTGTTCGTTCTTACTCACAGTCCTGGTGCCTTACCAGTACCATGCTTAGTCACTTATCATATCCTCACAACATATCACTCGGCAGTGTAACGTGAATGATCCATCCCCTTGCTTCATCCTCCATGCAAGAGCAATATTGAGCTTGCAAGAAAAGGAAGAAAAAACCTTGTCAAGAATCAATTTTAAATTCCCTGCAATACTAACTAAATTGTTCAGCTTCGCTTATCCCCCTTATATTATCTCACGTCGTCCAACTCCACGCCGTCCAACTCCGCGCCTCAGTCGGCCTCCCAGACAGACCCGTTTCATCGCGACCCCGCTCCCATGGCAACCCCCGCTCCCATGGCAATCCCCGACCTCATCACAACCCCCTCTTCCCCACCCCCATCACCAACCCCCACCTATACACGTCATTATCAACCCGTACTAAGTCCCTCATCGCTACGCTATTTCGTTATCAAGAACACATACCCTCTAAGGATGATGTCCCTCAGCTGTACGCTCAATCGCATAGCGTCTAGGGGCACTCTATCTATAGCCATCATCGGCGTGCCTGCTAAGGAAAGTTCATATCAGGTATAGGGTTACCATAGCTATCGCTAGCAAATGTAAAACGGCAGTGAGTGAGACCAGCTCTTGATCAGGAATAGAAAGACAGGATTTAACGTAGCTGGCAGGTACTTGACTATTTAATAGGCGCTATAAAGCTCGTTTTTCATCAGAAAAACTGGATTCACAGGCATGTCCTATTCCGTTCAGGAACACATACCATTCAAGGACATTTCTTGAAGCGTATGTTAAGACGGAACCGCCTCGAGGCTAGTGAGTGACAATAAGAAATTGATATTGCTGGGATTGAGAGAACAACCGAAGGGCTTCCGACAATCAATCTTGCGAGGCTTTGGCCATTTACTTCCCTTAACTAGCTAACTATCTCTAGAGATGACCATGGGAATCCCCTCTGGTTTCGAGGTTAAAGATAAGTATTGGGTCTGTTTACGACACATAGGCCACAGAGGAGGAGACATGTACGGTTAAATCCGCGGAAAAAGGCGGTGATATTCCCAGGGTTGGCCCCTGACGTGGGCCGTTGACTCTAAGTTAAGCCGGCGTCGGTCTGGGCGGGCTACGCTGGAAAAAAAAAGGCTTATTATCGTTGACCTGAAGGGACCGTTCCTTTCCATTACGCCTTCATTCACAAGGTCTCACTCGGCATACCCAAAGCGGCATATGCTGTTTCAGAATTGATCTGTGTCACCACACTCACGGCTCGAGCCGCAAGATCAGCTGTCACCTTGTTGATCACAGATCGCACCTGATTGGCGGTCACAGAGCCTCAGAAGAAACGAGGAACTTGGCAAAGAAGGGGGGGAGCTTTTCCGACAGGGAAAGACTTTCCCCAGAATTTGACGAAAACAACACGCATAAACAAAATCAACCTGGTTGCGAATAGAACCAAACCTGGAAACATTAAGAAACCAGGAAACATGGCGACGGAAACAAACGCTCTAGATAAATATGATAAGATAGCTACATATATTTGGCTCATCGGTCCTCCGTTTACATAGATATTCAACTTGACAGGAAATAATAATTTTGAGTTTTTCTGGGAAACTTGAACGAATAAATAACAAGACAAAGTAGACCCGAGAGAGAATAAGCGCCCTTTACCCCCCGCCCTGAATAGTAACATACCATAGATAGAAAATATGATAATAAGTATAGATAACTTATGCCTTGCCAAATGCCCACCCATTCCACCCACCATTGAAAAGAAAGAAAGAATAAAACACCAACCGCCATGAAGACTCCGCGAAGGATCACTGTAAGATGTTGATGCCGAACAAGAGGAAATTTGAACGGGAATTATTATGTGAACACAATGCAACGCTAATTTAATCTCAGATACGCTAAGAAAAAACACATAAGAAAAGAAGGAAAGGAGAGAAGAAAGTGGTGATAAAAGGAATAGAACTTTATGTGGCTATACTTCTCAAGAGTATCGATTCAAAGATGGTCTTCAGGAGTGCTGGCGATGTAGTATTGGGAATGTTGGCAGTGAATTATTGATGGAAAATGACCTAAATCAATTGCTCTTCCTCTCATCCTCACCAGTCTCAGGGTCAGATTCCTCATCATCGTCTAAGATACGCGAGTTAGTGGTTGACCCGTTCTATTTTGAGGGGAGAGTAATCGTACCGAACATCATCTCCTCGTCGCTGTCGTCCTCGCCAAAGTCGCTCTCCATCTCAGATTCGCACCAAAAGTCGTCATCGACCTCTTCCTTTTCTGGTGGGGCACTCTCTACAGTCAGAGGCATATGGAATCCCTCTGGAATGTCTCTCCTAGAGGCCTCGACGTTCTCCCGAACCACCTTCTTGTAGCCTTCGGGGTCTTTTCGCAGCATGACGCCAGCGTCAACATTGGCCGCGCTTGAGACTTCGGCATCGTCAAGAAGGGATAGAATGGAGATGAGGACGGTGAATATGCGCTGCGCTGGCGACCAGCGTTCCTAAAAGTCATAAAATTAGATAACCTGCCCCCTTACGTAACAGATAAAGAACGGTCATGTAGACGTACCGACGCAAGTTCTCCTGATGTCTCATCTTCGCCTGGTGCGTGGAGGATGGAGATGCATAGCTTGCCGTCCTTGTAGATATTCGGGTGGAATAGTGGGCGGGCGAAGCGGAATTCGGGTGGGCTCATAGGGTAGTTTTTCGGGATTTTCAGTTCAGCCTGGTAGCGGAAAAACACGCAGTCAGTAAAACTGGTAACCAAAGGCATATGAACACGGGGGCGAATCATACCTTGAGATAGGCACCCGAGTACAACGAGGTCGGGTTTACGACGATCAAGGCGACGTCCCAGAGGAATAGATTTCCATCACGTGGCTGTCCGTAGAAAACAGAATCGTTAGTACCCTGAAGGGTGGCATCTGGAGTTTTGTGGGAAAAAAAGAAGATATCGGACTCACCTCGACGTCCACCCAGTTTTCCTTTTGCAACTCTTTCAGCTCGTTCATGAGCATACGCTCTGCAATCTTTCGTTCATCCGAAGACATTTCGGGGTTTTGCTATATCAGAGAGGCGAATTCTCAAAGCGAGGGGTTGCTGTTGGTGTTGGGAGGAATGCCACACGGACTATATCTGTTTTGTGCTTTGACGTTGTATAGTTACAGAGAGAAGCAATAGAAGCTTCTAGGGATGATGATATCCAGAAAGAATAAGCAGGATGTTCGTGGATAGAATCAAAGGGAGGGGGCGGTCTTAAGAAGGTGTTTGGGGGGATCACGCGAGGAGAGAGAAGGATGGTGAAGAGAAGGAGGTGGCACGCCGCCGTGTAAGTGATGCAGATTCTATCTGCGTTAGTGGAGGCGGAGGCGGTGATGGGTCTGAGCTAAACTAGTCAACCGTTGTTCTGGGTGGGGGACCGTGGAGAATAAGAGGCTTGGAAGTTGGAGGAAATGTGGTGAAGGAACAGTTCACTGGAGGGAAGGAGAGGATCTATGTAAGAGGAGAGGAAGAAGCCGGGAGTGAAGGGGCGCCCAGTGCGGAGAAAACTGTTGGTTTGTAGGTATGAATTGTGCTATCGCGCTTGCTGGCTTGCTGGCTTTCTAGTATCGTGGGGAATGACCTGCCAATCCCTCCACTCCCATTCACTCCCAACCCACACCCTGCAAACCTCATATCATTCCCATGGCACAGTATGTACCTACTATGGAGTGCTCCACTGGCACGTACATGTGCCTTACAATGTCATACATACTTCTATATCACCGATATCACCTATCTCGACTCTAGAGTACCCTCCACATGTACATATCTTCTGCCATACCAGCTACTCCGCACTACATTCCCTCATCCCTCATATATGAAGGCCATTTCCACGGGCCGATAACACTCCTCTGCGCACTGACTGCAGCAAGACACAAACAGGTGCAAACACTCTCTGCAAACTCAACATGAATCGAGTGACCCCGCCGACGATAGAGTGGAGACTATGATATTATTACGCGGGTACGGGTGCACATCGGTTTAAGACACCACTACCGATTGCCGCCGTGATCTCGCTACCCCCAGAGTCATATATAACATCTCCCGGCAGCCGCCCCTCGCTTCGACTCCTGATCCTCCCGGTCGAGTTTCGGTGAGTGAATGAGGGGAAGACTGACTCCGAACATCTAGGAACACATATCTGGATAGGGTAGGGTACATAGGCATCGTGAACCTCTTTGTAAGGTACCTTTGATCTGGGTTGATACAACAATCACTGTTATCGGAGCTCCCCCCAATCCTTGACACCAACCCACCCACTCCCGAGGCAAAGTGTGTGTATGATTATGCAGGCCATGCATGTCATCTGCAGGCCTTTATAAAAAACTAAAAAAACACCCCTTTCCCTTCCGGGTATCTGCCTCCTGCAGTGGAAACCAGCTGGAAACCGAGGAGCTTTTCCATCCTGTTTCCTTTCGTGGCGCAATAAGGAAATCTCATATAAAACCGGGGGAATATCGCTCAATCTGCTCGCCTGCGGTTCGTTCGTTCTTTTGGCCGGCGTGCGATTCGAGCCATCACTATCGTCTGCACAGCTGGCTGGCTTGAATTTCAATTTTATTTGATGAATAAATAAAATCAAGTAATAAAATCAAATTTTGCACAGCCCTTTGAGAAGGGATGATCATATCTGCGTGTTCGAGGTTCGAGGCGCTCCATTTGTTGATAGGTACCGTGGTTCCTGGATTTGTGAGGCGGCGGCTTTGGTTACCTAGTGGTCGGTTCTTGATCACAGACTATCACTCGTGAGAATTTTTGACAGTGGTCGGCTTTATCGGGGTGGCTTAGCTAGCTCCACCTGCAGCCCCCCACAATTGATTTGTTACCAAATATAAAGCCGAGAAGTACATGTAGTCATCATAGCGCCTCATCTACCAATTGCCTGAGCTTATCGTTGGGTAGCCGTTCGTGAAATCCTGCTGCAGGCGCGGGAGAGTGGCACCAGTAATCCAGGGTTGGGCACGTACCTACAAAAGCAGTTGCCTAGAGCACAACGTCGTCATATAAAGCGTTTCAAGTACCTACACCGTCATAGGAATTTTTAGCACTGCAACCTAGAGATCAAGCTCTATCGTTGAAACTTCAGTAGTCAAACTTCACGTAATCCAATAATTGAAGTGGCATTTGATACATAGTAAGTAATGAGGTGAATCCATCTCACATTTCATAGCACAAGGAAAAATTAACTCTATGTCACACTATGGAGGAAAATAGAGATCTCGACCGATCAAAAGGCTCGCATTCGCTACTAGAAGAGGAGTGAGGTCAACGACCTCGTGGTAGGGATCGAGAGCCTATTTCCCATGGGTCAGCGACTCCAACTAATAAGGCCTATTCAAAATTCCACAAGTTACTCTGGTGAACGGAATGGTTATAATATTAAATCCACCGGCAGAGCCTATATCATGATCACTAGTTTTGTGTTGTTCAATCAGAGAAGGGCATGAAACTGAGGTACTATGGCCATGGGTATGTACAGCCAAAACCTTTTTGCACTGATCTAGGCCTGAGTCTTAATATCTTGTGCCAGACTGGTCTATTTCAGATTTAATTAAACCTATAGCTATATTCTACGTATTACGCCACCTTGAATTAATAATTATAGCTACCGCTAAACGTGCGGTATCAATGATTGTCCTGACCAAGCTCAAATAGAAGAGGGATGGCACCCTCCATCCCAAACAGGCCTTACAATTGCGCAAGATCTCGAGGATACTTTTATGAGGGACTACTAGAATGTGTTCAATATGCCCTCTGCCTGGCCATACTCTTTAAATGTCTGTATGCGTTCGTTGGCTCATTCATTATTCTTGTAAAGTCACGGCTAGTTAAAGAAACTTATGTTAAATTGAATGCTTTAGACACAACTAGTTTATAAGTATTCCAACTTTAATCACCTTGTCCACAACGCCTACTGCATTTTCTTGAGTTGGTTGGGGGCTTCTTCAATTGGCCGAACACATGCCCCATAAGTATATCATACTATAGACCGAATAGACCAGCTTCCCGGTAGGCCAAAAATAAGACATCAGTCCAGTGCGCTCTCTGACCATGATGACCTATTCTTATCTCTTATGTAGAAACAAGAGGGCGGCCAGTGGGATGATGTACGTCGTGGTAGATTTTCATGGCAGGGTTAGGTGTCTAGCTCACTTTACCATCACTCCCTTAAGTATTACTTCCGGGTCGCCGAAGGTTGTATGGGCGAATGTGGTCTAGGAGTAGACAGCTCCTCATGAGGAACACCGAGTGGGCTGAGTCCCCATGATCATCAGTATGTCATGGGCTCAATCCCGGGGGCGGGAGTGTGCCTGTGTTGTATATAATAAATCGGACCTGAAACCCGTATATAAAAAGTATACACCTCAGTATGACTTTTTTGGAGCTTATTGGGTCCTCCTCGTGGGTTAGGCGTGATATCGATCAGATCTCTAACATTAATGGTCAGAGCCGGACATATCATATGGGGTTAGGATTTAGTGAAAGTTTTCTAATCCATATTCTTTTATAAAATAGTAGATCAACAAATCCCGGACGTAAAAAAGGACGATCTTTGACGTAAAGAGGGCACTCGACAGGAGGGCCGGGCCAACTAGAAGGTAAGCTGCTGGTAGAATGTTCTGATACATGCTGGCTGGCACTGTACGTGTGTTTTTGTTTGGCTATAAAGGATCGAGTTCAGCGAGCAGTTGTCAAAGCCTCGGAGGTAAATACTGTACATATATATATCTGGAGGCCTGGTCGTCCAGTGAGATGTTTCCAGCGTATTCACGAATTTAAATGGTGGGGTAGTTGCGTGGCTTTGAGGAATCTTAAAGTTATATGGTATCAATGTATAAATATATCAGCTATAAACATAGGCCTCTTTCTCTGTTAGATGTATGGATGTGTATTTTTCTTTAGTACATTGGGGGTTATGGCTTACTACAAGTAGCTATATACATATGTACATACGGTAGATGGTCTAGTCATTTCTCTGGCCAGTTTATGTAATGTTCGTGAGCTATAATAAGCACTTTGAGCACTCCTTTCCAGAAATTGGATTAGGCCATCTGCAGCCGCGCAGATCTACCGAGCAAAGGACTGTGCGCTGTGCATGGTTACGACATATGTGCTGGCAGATCTCTAGCTATATAATATCTAAAGTTTAGTGCCGGTATTCAGGACATGTACGTGTTACCAAGCCTAAGCTGTGTCTCTGCGGCGGGCTCTTGTTCTGACCCTCAACCCCCCACCCTCCAACACTATCAGCATGACATACGTTTACCTTTCCTCAAGTCTAGCTAGACTTTATGTTTTATCAAACTTACTTTTATGCTAAGACCTAGGAGAGCTCTTGAAAAAAAAGTCTCATACCATGCCAGGGAATTCGAAAGGAACACTCTTGATACATGTAGGTCTCCCTTCGACCTCATATCATCACTACATGGTCCTATAGTCAGCGGCCGACAACATCTTTCTTGCAGGCCGACATTAGATTATATCGAGAGCAATTACGTCCAGAGGTATCTTCCGGACGGAACTCGAGATGGTTTGACTACATCTATGTAGTATCGGATGACATGGGCTTTGTACATACAAGTATCCATCCAGGTACTTGTCGTTCCACGTCTGGTGGCATTCAGTGTTTCGCGGGTATATGTAGCTCCGAACACCGCTGTCGGACGGGAAACGTGGGCTTACATGTTGCTAAGTAAATACATGTATGTACTTGTAAGTATGCTCTGATCTATTCGAGGTATCATGATATGGCTAAAAATCGGTCTTAAGTCGTCTCTCCTCTCGTCCAATTGCTTGATTTCGACCAGAGCTCAAAAGCGATATCTTACTGCGGAAACGATCTTATACATCATACATCGAGTTATGTATATGTATGCGTACGTATATCCCCAAACCAAAAAAAGACCCCCAAGCCACCCCGGCAGAACAACTACAACACACAAAAATAACTTACAACTCAGGTCTGTATAAGTCATGCACAGTTCAGAGAATATATCAAAAAAGACCCCACAAAATTTTAACGCCAATGCCACCGCTTTCCAGGTTACATTATGATTCCAAGCCTTTTCGTTGCCATCTGCATTCCTAAAAAAAAAAAATTCTTACTGCCTCTTAACGATCTCCTCCTCAGCCTCCTCGTCGCTAATCAGTCCGTCTAGTTCGAACTCCTCCGCGTCCGCAATGCGCCGGTGCTCCCGTTCGCCCGCATAACCGTTGGCGGTGTTGGGCGTCTCGAGTGAAACGGGGATATACTTCTTCTCCTCGGGCTTGTTCACAACAAAGAGATTGATGAGCACCATGGTGACTATCGCACATCAACACCCATTAGTTTCACTCCTACGCAACCAACAAAGCCAACCAAGGTGGGGGGACTCACAAAGATACAACAAAAACGCCAAGCTGTACAACACGAGCAAGTAACTAACGTGATCGATGCCAACCGCATCTACGAGCGCCAGTTGCTCCTCGTTCGCGCTCATAAAGATAAAGCCGCTCGCAAACAACAAATATGGAGGCAAATGTTGCCAGCTATTTATCTCACCCGTATCCTTCCTTGAGCCTAGCGCCGGCTTATCCTTCACCACAAACGCAATCTCGATAATCCTACTCAACCCAGCCGCCATCAGGGTGTATCCAAACACCTGATGCACCATTGTACTGAGCATAAGGTGCTGGGGATGCGCGCTCATGGCCCAGCCCGTCAAGAAGATGACAATACCTGGTACCAGGTTGCGCTTATTGCCGCGGGAGAGCCATAAGCCGAGAAGACCTGCGCAGGCCCAGACAATGCCCATAGACGTGTGTTGGATGTCGTTGTGCGCCCAGTTGTTGCCCCAGCGGTGCTCGGTGAAGGTGTTGATGACACCCCAGATTGTGATGACGAGGGAATCCCAAAACTCCTGCGAGCGGCCGGTGCGGGCGAGCCAGGCCTGGCCGACAAAGAGCATTAATGTCATGATCATACCGTAGGCAATGAAGGAGCTGCCCATTATCTATTTTTTTTGGTTGTTAGCGGTACATACGCGGGCAAGCTAGCTAATGGAGGGGGTAATGATCGGAGGCTCACGAAATGCGCTAGACACTGGCCCGTGTGGTCTGCATGGCAAAAGCCCATTCTGAACACAACAAGAAAAACACGTTAATATAATCATTTACTCACCACCACCAACAGGAAGAAAAACTCACGCTGTGATACCACCAAACAACATTTGCGTCCACGATACCAAGGGCATGAGCTTCCCTATGACGCCATGCACTCTGACCACCACTCCCCTCACCCTCCCATGCCATCCCTTCTCCAGATGGCACTTGAGGTACACGCCGCCGGCAACCTGCATGCAAAGCATGAGCATGAGCGAGTTGGCGAACTTTGCATGTATGTTTGGCGCAAACTGGCGGCCCTTGTGCATGTGCCCCAGGAAGTAGCCCACGACGGCGATCGAGGTGCCGAGCACCTGGACGGGGACGTGCAAGCGGCTGCGCACGATCCCGAGCACCATCCCCGTCGGGAAGATGACCCCGAAGGAGGCGAGCATGGCGAAAATGTGCAGCCAGAGTATGCTGTCAACGGGGTCCGGCGAAATTACGGAGCCCTCGGGAACGGCGTCGGAGGCATGTTCGTGGGCGCTGGCGCCGCGGGCGAGTAGCAGGGCGGCGGCGGCCAGTAGCCCGCCCCAGAGCGTGCTACTGCTGTCGGACATTTTTTGTGGTTGGTGGGTGGGACGGACGGGCTTGGTAGTCTGTTTCTGGAATTCTGAGGATTTGCTTGAGCTCTTTGCTTTTGCCTTTGCAACTAGGCTTGTGCAGAAGTGAGTGAATGGATGGGTATTTGCCCAGACCAGACTGCAGCAGCAGGTGTGTGGGTAGAACAACAAGACTCTTAGCAGTGACTGAGGGGGGGCGGGTGGGTATATCTGTGTGATATTCCGCTCAACAGTAGCAGTAGTAGTGGCTGTTTCGTGGGTAGTACTGAATGTATGGAAATGAAGCAGGCAGACAGACACAGATCAACAACAACACCAACAACAACAACACCTGTCAACAAGAGTTTAATAGATTACGAGGGCATTCCCCAGGCGTTATGTAGCTGACCGCTGCCTCGCTTCTCCAGCCCTGAACGCAAGAAAAGCCGAACACCCGAGCCGCAGGAAAAAGAGAAAGTCGAGGCTTGGCACCTTCTTGATACTTGCTACGGTCACGTGATTGGCTGTCGTCGTAGTAGTAACTAATTAATGATTAATCACAGGTTGAGAGCCACGCGTTGCTGCCTTATCGAGATGGACTGAGATAACAGACCCCGGCCCGTTTTGGGGTTCTTTTGAGCACAGTCCAGCGTCCACTCAGCGCGGGGAATTAGTAAACGTGCGATATAAGGCGGTAGCGAGAGTTGCTTGTAGTTTAGTCCGCACGGAACTAATATGTGCAGGATATCATTACCCCCCCATCCCCCTCTATATAAAAACTCCATTAAAAATCACAACCATAGAAAAAGAATATTCACAACTACGAATAAATCTAAATCTACCAAAACTGCACTGTGCACTATGCACTATGGCGCTGAAGCAATCTCCTTCAGCTTCTGCAGCACCAGCGGTAGTGACTTGTCCTTGAGAACCTTATTCTCCGCCGCCGTGAACCTGCCCAGCACATAGTCGCTCACCACCTGGCTATCGCGGCTCACCGGGCGCCCAATGCCAACACCGATCCGCGTAAAGTCCTACACCGGAAAACATAAAACACCGTCAGCACAACACATTCCCCATTCCCAATTCCCATTCCCCAAACACAACCTCAAACCTCCCCTCCCCCCTCCAAATCAAACCCAAAAACATACCTTCGTCCCCAACGCCGCAATCACACTAATAAGCCCATTATGGCCCCCCGCGCTCCCCGTCCTCTTGACCTTGACGGCGCCCAGCGCCACCTCCATCTCGTCATGCACGACGACCAGCACCGCGCGGTCGCGCTCCGCGGCGTCGAGCCCCGACAGGAACGTGCGCCACGCGCGGTTGACGCCCGCGCCGGAGATGTTCATCAGCGACTTGCTCTGCCAGAGCGTGTAGGTAGGGTCGGCGTCGTGGGTCGCGAGGTCGCCGCTGTGCGGTTTGCTCTTTGAGAAGCGGGTGTGGCCGAGGGTGTCGCGTAGGAGGGTGGTCATGGTGTGGCCGGCGGAGTGGCGCGTGGGGAGGTAGGCGCCTGGGTTGCCGATGGAGCAGACCTGGAGGGGGTTAGTTGTGAGGGCGGTGGAGCGGGGAGGGGGAGGGAGGGGATGGGGGCGTACGAGAACTTTGCGGTCCATTGAGATGGGGGTATTATGGAAAGATCTAGAGAGTGAGATTATGGTTGGAGGGAGCGGGATTGTGGTGGGGGGCAGTCGGCAGAGGGTGCGGGTGAGCAGGTGCATTTTTATAGGTGTTTTGTTTTTGAAAGTGGTGAGGTAGGTTTGACTCTTTGAATCTGATGGCGATGATGCACTGCCGGCGTTTGCGGTGTGAATACTATGACGCATGGGTCAGTCAGTCAGCGACGGTGTTTGATACATACATAGCCCCGGTCTTGAGCGCCATGGAATGCAATGGTGATCTAGTGTGAAGTGACTCAACTAGCTGGAGGTAGGTAGGTAGGTAGATACTGGGTAGGGGGCCGTACCTTCTTTGTAATTGTAATTGTGTATAGGCGGTAGGTATTTCGTGATTATCGATTCCGTCGGCGCGATGTCGATGCCATTCGAGTCAGTTGCATGCAGTGGTTGTTGAATAATTTGATATTGCGCATCGCGGCATTAGTCATCGCCGGTCCCCCCGCGCTGCGCTGCAAGCTGCAGGAAAAGAAAAGAAAGGAAAGGAAAGAAAAAAAAAAAAAAAAAAAGCCATTTCTTGGCCTGCGGTCGTGCCCTCCCAAAATTCTAAAATTCCAATTCGGTCTGCAAGCGCACGGTCGTTGAAGAGCTTCTAGAAGAAGGTTAATTTTTTGCTTGCTTGGCGGACGGGATGTGGGGGTTGTGATCATTGACATCGTTGTCGGCGACGGCGTTTCGGTGTTTGTGAGTTGGCGGGTTGCTTGTAAACATGTCTGTAGCCAGCTGTGTGTAGATGTTTCGAACTGTCGTTTCAAACAGAAGACGAGTCAGCAGTGAGGTGGCAGAACCGAGTGCTCTTCTATATCATTCATGCACGGTATCTGCGCTGGCCGCCGTGGTAGATCTACTCTACCTACCTAGGCTCTACCAGCAATCTCAGCTGCATCCAGATCTGGATCTCACTGGATCTGCCTGCGCACACGTTCCAAGTTTCCAGCTTCCAGGGCGGCCAATTGCTCTACCCAAATCTGAAATTCTGTAGCGACACTTTAAACTTTTACCCCGTAGCGTGCGCAAAGTGCAATTCTACACTTTTGTCCGGCCCCAAGGCTTCCTGATCGTCGAAAAGGCTAGCTAGGGCTGATGGAGGGTTGGTTTCATTTGTGTTGACTGTTGCCTGAGGGAGGGCAGGGCCATGCAACAACACCCGTAACTGTACCTACATGATTCTACATCCTACATTCTGCAGTTTGCAGCACCGGGACCCAATGGAATCAAAGAGGGTGAAAACACGATATCGATCCGGACGCAACATCTCGCAAGGTGTGTGTTGAAACAGCACTGCGGTAGGGAGAGCTAGAGTAGAGAAATCCGCCTCACTGAGGCCTACCTAGCTAGCTAGATAGAGTACTCTACCAGAGTCGACCGACCTGCATGCCGGCGCTGCATAACTACATGTAGATTCACCACGTGAAAAAGCCACCCGCAGCACTCGATCAAGCTCCAAACGTCAAAAAAGCTTAATCCCCCCCGCCCCGGGGCCCCAGCTCGGGCCCTGAGTATGTAGAACGGAATAGGGAGAGTATGGAGCACATCGGACGAAGCCAAGTGCCGCCGGTCGAGTCGGTCGCACAACATCCAGCTGAAATCAACAGAAAGGCGCCGCCTCGTTCTTAGCAGTCCGTATATTAACGATCGCAGCCTTTGCTCGCCTCGCTCCCCCTCCCCGCGGCGGGAGTGGAGATTGCCGAGTCGAGTGGAGTGGAGTCGTGAACTTGAGCGGTGCGCAGGCAGGCAGGAATAGTAACCACCTATGTACTTCCTGCCGTTTTCAGCGCGCAGCGGGGGGGGAAGAAGAAATGTTTTCCCGCGCCCAGGTGCTGTGATTGGATCGTCAGAACTCAAAAAATGCCATCCCCTCCCTCGCTATTTATAGGCTTCATCCTCGCTTGTGCTTGTGCTTGTGCTTGTGGCTTGTGGTACAGAGAGTGGAAAAGTGGAAAGTGGAAAAAGACCGCCATGATTCGTCGCACAGGGAGATTGTGGGACCGTGGTTTTGGGTTTTATGCTACAGCCTGCGGGAGGGGGAGGGGGATCGAGGGAGAGGGAGAGAGGTTATAAATAAAACAGCAAGTAATTTAAATGAATAAACATAACATAAACGAGCACAAAGTAACGAAGCACGTAGCACCGATGAGCAATTGGCATAACACGACGATACGATACACGATAGGACGACTCGGGAGATGAGAGTGGTACAGTGTGGAGTAGTTGGTCATTGATATATATCGTATTATTGATCATCCAGAACACACTCCACTCCATCCATGAGTGTTGCAATTGAGGCACAGACAGCTTGCTAGACATGAGCTCTACTTACAACTGAACCCTACCTACATCCCCGATTCCCGACTTTCCAGATAGGTGCGCACTCCTAAACAGCTGATGATTACATGTAGGTACATAAGATCTCGTATCATCCCGTGTGTGGGGTATTTTTACACTCCACTGCGGGCAGCGTAGCGGAACAGACGAACCGGATATCCGACGAAGAAGACGAAGACGAATGTCCCCCGCCGAGCGGGCCGGACGGGGTTTATCCGAGATCGACGGTTAGATGGTTAGACGTGCAGCTAGATGTGCAGCTAGAGTCATGGGGGGGTGCTGCTGTGGTTATCGATTGGCGGGGCCAGTGTTTCGGAGTTTGATTGGGGAGGCGCGAGGTGTTGGGGGGAAAGGATGGAGAAGTGATGATGGGAGTTTGAGGTATTTTGGGGTTGTGGGTGTCTCTGGTAGATAGATGGATGGGGTCTGTAGAGTCTGTGCACGGTGCGTGTGCGTGTGCGTGTGTGGATGGGATGTGGGAGAGTTGCTCTATGTACCTACTTCAGATACTCTACTTGATATTGGGGGCGGTGTTCCCAATAACGGGTCTGGGGGGGTTATTTGGAGTCTACACTTGTATATACATATCTACAGGGAAAGTAAAAGTCGATATGTAAAGTGTATAACCATGGTTTTTATGCTCCAACCTTCCTTTCTCCCGTAGCTAGCTATGCAGTTGCCCCATTCAGAAACCTCGAAACATATCACCAGCTTCAAGAAGAAGCTTGATTTAGCCTTATATAACGCACCATCCATCCATAAAGTCTGCGGGCCCTTTTTTTCGTGGATGAAATCAAATCATGGGAAAGCTTGTGCAATTGCTGTAGAGTATTTTAGCCTTCCCGGGACCCCCTAACGCTTATTCTTGTTTTGCTGGATTATGCCCGTCCTCGGTGCTTACTGCTGTATAATAGACGGTTGTTCCGAGACACCACCTCTGGGTAGGTTAATCCGAGAGGTTCAAAGGAAGGGGGGCTGTATGTAGAAAAGCAACGCAATAGTAAGAATTGCCACTTTGAGTTAGGCGTCGAGGGGGGGAGGGATCAATGATACGATCCTCCAATACGCTTAGTCAGGATGAAAGGGGAACAAAACAGTCCGTCATGCAGATCCATGGGCCTAGCTGACACACATGGAGACTTGTCGCTCAGACAGCAAGATGTCGACATGTGGGGTATAATAATTTCCGACGGGGATGAAAATAGGTGGTGACGTTTTGTTCTTGTTCAAGATGGTGGATTTGTAAGAGCTTCCCACCCACCCCCCGCCTCACCGCCTGGCTGGTAACTGTAACTTGTTGAGACGCCTGTAAATTGCAAGGTATGTTCGGTAGGTAGCTTCCCGCGGCGTAAGCAGCAAAAGATGCAACAATCCCTAGTGTAGGGTCCGCCTAGAGTAGAGTGCAGGGCAGGCAGGGTCCCGGTTGAGAGATCCCTTACAACCAGGGTTCCCTATCTCTAAAAGTTACTGTAAGTAAGCATGCTGCCTGTCCCTGAAATCACATTCCCATCTGGAGACGAGCAGAGGTGAAAGAAAAAAAAAAAAGAAAAAAAAAAAAACGCCCCGCCGCAGAGGCGAAATGATGCGAACCCCAAGTGTCGGAAAGTGCCACCAGAGAGAAAAAGCCATGAGGAATGACGTTGATCCCCTAGGTAAGAAATGTTCATGCATTATGATAATGCCAACATGAACAGCAGCGCGCTCACCTCCCCACGCACAGCAGATACCAACGGATTAAGTACTCTTTGCGAGTACATGTGCAGGTGGTATCTGAAGATGGAGTGGCACTGTTGTGAATCCCGTGATACCACTAGGCGGAGGGCTTCGAAATCTGGCTGTGCATGCTGCCTGCTTGCTGCACGGAATGGCTTGGTCCGGATTCCAGCTTCTCAACAGGAGCCTCAAAGTCATATGTGGAGAGAGAGACCGCAGTAAACTCGCACTCTAGAACTCGAGAGAGAGAGGGAATGGGGAAAGTACTGGCGCACCATGGCGTGTGAGGTTTTGACAGGGTTTGATCCTCCAGGGGTTATCCGCCTGTGATAGAAGCTCACGACAGGACATCCCAGACATTCTGAAACATCTCTTGGAAGGGCTTCTTTCTCTCCCACCCCCAGCTTTTTTGGCTCTGTATCCTGTTCTTCACACCCCCAGTATTTTTTCTTCCCACTGTAACCGCCGGCATCAAGCCCAAACGTTCATTGGCCCCACGGAATTTCTGCGCGGAGCTTGACTGGAGGCCTGCCCTTTCGTTCATTCAGCAGGTCCGTTTCTTTTCAATTGTCTGGGCTGGTCTGGTTGGTTTGAACTGCACCCCTCACCAAACAATTCGCTCTTCTTTCCCATCCCTCCCGCCCTCTTCTCTCTTTTCTCTCTTTTCTCGATCTCTGCCTTTCTTCACCCTTGGCTCTGCGAGTCAAATATTTTTTTCTTATTTTCAACTCTTGGGCTGACCCCCTAATATTCCTCTGATTCCTCTGGTCGTTATTGATTTCAGAGACGACGTTTCTCACCCCCCACCCCCTCCATCATCTGCTGTTAAATATCTGTTCCCAGCGTTTTCCCATCCTCGTATCGCTGGTGCTCCAGCTGCTGCAGGGCTGCACTCTATCTCGTACCTGCCTTAGCCGTTTGCCACCCCGACTTATCAGTACAAAGAAAGGAAGCCTTGTACTATCGTTTCTGTCTATATCTCGGTGTGTGACTTTCTGTGTGTGTGCATCTTGGTGTGTGTGTGTGTGCGTGTGTGGTGTGGGTGTCTCGAGCAGGAACAAAAACAAACAGCTCTCTATTCGCCCTGTTCATACACGTTCTTCCCTTTTTTCGCTGGGAATCGTCTCGGAACCTCCCCCCCTCCCCCTCCACTCCCCTCCCCCCCCCTTT